ATTTTTCTCTATTACCTAAACAAGTCAGCTTCCTCTATACCTGCCCTTACCCCTGGTTTTCCATTTCTAAATGAAACTCCTAGCTGAATAAGTCTAATTTTATTCTTCCATTTTATTTACTTATTTATTTAATTTTTGGTTTTCTTTTTCTTTTCTTTCTCCACATTCCTTTATGTCTATTATTTCATATTATATCCTTTTTCCTTTTCTTTCAATCTCTCCTGTAGATCTGTAGAAGTATATTCACATTTTCATTTATTATGTATTACACTACAACAATTGTTAACACCTATTTACTTCAGTTTAGTATCTTGTTACTTAGCTTACTTTGTTCATATTTTAATGTACTTACTGTTTATAATTTCAATAAGCTTATTCACATTGTTTATAAATTTTGTCTAAATATTATGTAACTGCCACAATTCTCTATCTTTTTGTATCTTGTCCGTTCTAGCCCTGAAGAAGACCTGAAGAGCTGACGATCGAAACGTCGGCTTTCAATAAAATAGTTTTACCGCTATTTAGGCTATTTAAGACCGCCACAACGGACCTTCTCCTTCCTTTTATAATGCAACGGTCAACTATCAAATATTCAATATAAATAAATATTTTATTTATTATTTTGTTTTTGTTCTTTTAAAAATTAATATTGGATTATGTTATATATATTACGATATTGTAAGGATTTTGAAATCTATTGGAATAATTAGCACCATTTGTGAGAACACATCAGTTAGAAATTACTAGCGGATCCAGGAATTAATATTGGGAGGGCTTCAGCCCGAAAGCTTTTTTTCATAAAAATAACGATAATTACTTTGAAAAAAGAATGAAACTAACTACCTATATGAAATGGTGTTTAAGTGATTCCTTAAGTACTTTAAATGTAATTACACGAACAATAATACTTTAAGAGATAGTTTCCCTTATTAATTATCGCTATATGTTTTAAAAAAATATATTTTCGGGCTAAAGCCTCCCCTTCCCCCAAAAACTAAATCCTGGATCTGCTAGTGTCTTACATTAGAAGAAGGGAAACTATATCACAAATAGAAATTAAACAAATGGAAAATCACAATCACTTTTATACATCCATAAGAAGCAACTCAGCTCAAAAATGCAAGACAATTTATATTTATTCTTTCAGTGAACCAGTCGGGAGATATTGTTCTCTTTCCTACCAGACCTTTGACAACTTAGACTATCACTGTTGGGTCACTTACACCAAACACGAAACATTTGACGATATTGAAGCAATGCTACAGGTAACAAAAGGAAAACATATTTTACAAAAAACTATTAACAGCAAACATCAGATTAAGACAAATTTGACTTTTTGAAAAATTAGACTAGACTATATGGATGATTAGAAAACTGGATGTCTACGAAATTCCAACAAAGAGCATATGTAAAAGTGTCAATAGACATTCTGTAATTCTGAAAAGTCTGAATTTAAACGTTGTTTTTTGTTTTGTTTTTTGTCCTGATCACATCGGGACAGAGATGGGCGAATGCAACACTAAGTAGGAGTACCAACTATTTTACTCAAATTAAATCACTATTGGGAAATCAATCTCTACTTCATATATATTCTATATATAAATTCTTTGATACTCAAAAAATACTCAAAAAGGCCAGTTAAATATTTGGTACTCATTACTCAGAGTAACATTTGCCCATCTCTGCATCGGGGAGATCTTAAACGTCATTTCGTCAACGTTAACGCTACGGTGAGACCGTTAGATCAAAAAACGTATTTTCTTTGCCGGAGCTGGTGGAAAAACTAGGATAAGCGGGACCTGACCACTTACCGTGAATTGGTGGGCCTTCCACTGCAAGAATCGCAGCTTCATCATGTTGACCACAAATTGTCTGTTACTGAAGTATAGAAAAATTAAAGACGAAACGAGCAAACGACACCAAATCTTCTGATTATTTTACACCGTTCGCTGTTTTATTACTAAATAGAGATATTATCTTCCTGATAAATAATGAGTTCAATCTCTTCCCTTTTGCTGAAACCTTTAATGAGAAAGAGAAAGTTAAATAATCAGAAATAAATAAAGTACATAATTAGATAATATTTTTAACAGCTATCATATTACTTTTTCAAGGACAAATTTCTAATAATATTGCAAATTTCTTTTCAAAAGGGTGATTTGGAGAAATAAATCATAAAAAATAAATATTATAGTATATTCATTATCCCTCTAATATAAATCCAATCAGGCACTAGCGGATCTAGGATTTAGTTTTTGGGAAGGTTTCAGCCCGAATATATATATATATATATATATATATATATATATATTAAGATAACTACTTTGGAAGAAAAAGAAAGAAACCAACTTCCTATATGAAATAGTGTGTTCAAGTGATTTATGAAGTCCTATTAAATGTAATTAGACGAACAATAATACTTTTATTGAATATATAATAGTTGACCTTTGCATTATAAAATAGTTTTGCCATAATTAAGCCTATTTATAACCGCCACCCCTGACCATCTCCTTCCTCTTTAATAATACTTTTAGAGATAATTAAAAAAAAAAAGTTCATTAAACATCGTTATATTTCACGATTTTTTGGGGAGGAGGGAGAGGGATAGGCTTGAAAGCTCTCCTCCCAAAGATCCGCCTGTGCAATAACCTTAGGCTAGACTTTCGATTTCGATTGGGGGAGCGATGGACCAATGTAAAAAAAAATGGCGGATGTTCTTTTATTTGTTAAAATTCAACATAAGTATTGTGGAACGAACAAATATAATATTGAACGTTTAAAATCTGTTATGCTGTATAATTGTAACGATTTTTATTTTATTTTATTTTTTTGTTTTACTTATTATATATACTTGAAAATATCTATAAAAAAATACACTTGAATATATAATGTATTTGTTTAGATTAAACATAGGGAGAAGATGTCAATTTTTCTTTCAATCTATGAAGATGTTTTAAGTAGTTGTTCACAGACTGGTTTACTGTGGAAAATGTGAACAAAATATCATGTGAAAATTGAGGAGCAATCGAATCATAAAACCTAGGATATGTTGATGTATATTATTATCTTTGAATGTAAATGACCGTTTAAATAAAAGTAACATTTAGGTATTAAGAAAATAATAGTTACATACTTACTACAAGGACCTAGCCTAGCCAACCTAGTCAACTTTTCTTTATCGGATTTAGTTTAAACATTTTATTCATCCATGTAGCTTATTTATTATTGATTTTAATTTTTTTTGCCTAAAATCCCCCTCCCCCACCCTGTAGTCTGCGCCTATGGCAATCACCCAAAACTATAAAATAAGCCATAAATCCAAGGAGGATAAAACTGTGATACCGTTCACGAAAAGTCACGCCTAAGGTCATAAACTTTCCAGGACTTGCTTAATTTTCTTCCGCAATCATTCTCCAACTTGCCATTTTTTACTGTAAGAATTGCTGTTAAATATAATGGTGATTGTGAAAATTAATGAGAAATAAAAAAAATAGAAGAAAAATTACGCGAGGTTTTATCATTTCTAATTTGCCTAATTATGAATCAAATGTACGGTTCAATCGAAAAAAAATATATAATATTGGAATTTGTTTTTAATTAATTATTTAAATATTGCCTTTTTTACATCCTTGCCTTTTATTAATATCAGTTTAACACACTTGATTTTTTTTTTTTAATTTAAATTTGGTACATTTACTAAAGCTTCAGCTGAACAGAGTACTGTGTAACCCTGACTGGTCATGTAATGTATTAAATCATCAGGACCTTGATGCCATTTAAGAAGAAGATCAGGGGATGGTGAATTGGATTAGAGATATTAGGATGAAACTCAAAAGGTTTTAAAAGGTGTCCACTAATAACCTGGGACTTTTCTTCAGTGAGAAGCACAGGTGGATGGAAAGAGGGGGAGGGAGACTTTCACTCTCCCAAAATGGTAACATATAACCATGTCTTATGAAATAAATATTAAAAAATTATCTCTCACATTATTATTGTTCATCTAATTACATTGAACAGGAATTCAAGAATCACTTAAACACCTTATTTCACATTATTTATGTTTATAATTGGTAAATGGTTGACTGTCGTGGATAATGAAGAGAAGAATAGTTGTGGTGGGTCCATGGGGACCCACCCCAACTATTCTTCTTTTCATTATTTATGTTTATTCACTTCCCTGCCTTGCCTATCTGCTACAGGAATTTTACAGAGATGGTAGATTACACAACTGTGTGTACATCAACCCTGCTATTAAACATACAAGATTTAAACACAAAAAAACACTTCATATACATAGGTAGTTAGTTTCTTTCTTTTTTGCTTTCTTATTTAAGGCTGAAGTCCCCCCAACTTAAATCCTAAATCCACTAGTGGTGAGAAGTGAATGATTAAAGATTTTGAAACTTAGTAGTTATCTGTAGTTGATTTGTTGTTGGTAGGAAATTTTTAATTTGGGGGTTTATTTATTTATTTTGAGGTTTGTGTTGCTGATTGATGGTGGTGGTTTCTATAGATGTGAATTCTATTGTGGAATCAAAGGTTTTGTTTTTAATAAATTTTTTAAATCTAGTTTGTTTTCTAAGATATGACAAAATTTGTCCCAGTTTACTTGTCCTGTAATCAGTGACGTAGGTTTAGGAATAGAAGTTGTATCCAGAACCGGGAATGGTCTGATGAAAGGGTGTTTAAGGATTTAATTGTAGATTGAAAGGAGAATTTCTGGATTCATTATTTTCATTTCTTTTTGGAAGTAATTAATATATCAAGAATGTCAGGTCGTTTCTTAAGAGATATAGGGTATGCTTTCTGTTATAAATAATTGTTTATGCTTTTCATGGAATAACAGTCATTAGAAGAAGAAGGAAAGGCGCAAGAGAAATCAATACAAATGTTTTACAAAAATATGTTTTAATATGATTAATTCTACTAAAATTAATGACCAAACAAAATCCAGTAATATTAAGACATATGGATATAATAAATAACAAAAAAGATGGCTGTTTTTTTCAAGTCAATTTATTATCAATTAAACTATGGTTACAAATTATCTATGATGTATTGTTGTTGTTACAGAGGATTTTATTTTGATTGTACTATTTTTACAATTAAAATTATGAAAAAATTAGTTTTCTACAGTTTAGTTTAACAAAGAATAAAATATTGCTGAGTAAAACTAAAAATGTTAAATTTTTTATGCAACTACTGAAAATAAATTTTTTTAATCTATGTTATTACTAAATCAGAAAGTGATGTCGCTGCAGCAAGAGCAGTTTTTTCAAAAGTACATGGTGGATCTGAAATAGGGATAGTAAAAAAAGATATAAGTAATACATAAATATTAACAAAGTCAAATTATAAAATTAATATTACCAACTAGGGATACAAAAATGTTTGTAGGAATAAGTTAATAGGATTTACCTTAAAAAATAATATAAGTGATTAACCATGGTATTAAATCCTATAGTATTAAACTTATTTTCAATTAGAATTCTAATTGAATTAGAATTCATAGCGTAATTTATACTCATCAATTATAATGTAAAGTCAACAAATTATATTTTAAACTCAAAGAATGATAAATTCTTTCAGTATGAAAAAACTTATAACTTACAAAAAGGAAACCATCCATTGCTAACACCAGCGTTCTTCCTAGCTGACCTCAAAGCTGGACGCAATGCCAAAATAATCGAAAATGCCATAGTTAAAGGTGGTTCTCCTGTGGCTGTTAAAACAAAATTGCATTTTAGATTTTTATTTATTTTTTAAATTTAATATATGTGTGTTTGAGCTGTATAGGACTTCAATGGAAGTCATGGATCAACAAAATGAAAAAAAAAATATGAACAGTTACTTTCTAAAAAAAAGAGATATAAGTTGTCAAATTTAATTCAATTGAAGTTGGTTCAGTCTTTATTGGATGTACGATTGGATGCCGCTTGTCTTTTATTAAATTGAACTGACTTTTCTTTGTAACTGGAAAATTAAATACCTGCAATTACCAAATTAGAGCACATTGTCCACTTATTATTCATAAAACAACTGTAAACAAAGTTAATTTTTTTAAATTGATTTTATTTCATCATTTTTAAAAATATCATCACCACCACATTAAACAAACAAATGTAAAAATAGATACTTTTTAGATTATCTAAAAAGTTAACATTTTACTAATAACCACCTCATTGTAAATATCTATTGATTTCTCTGAGACATAGATTTATGTACATAAGACTTTATTTTACAAAAATACATCTGACAAATTTATTCCAAAAGTCATTTTTCAGATTCAATAGTTTGGTGTTGACAATATATCTCAGTCTATTTATTTTTTAATGAGGGAGAAAGAGTAGGATAGAAATTTGTGAACATGTTAAAAAAATAATTGAATAAATAAATATCCTGAATCTCAAAAAAAATCATAATTTTTTTTTATAAAATTTACTCCTATAAAATAAATAAATCCACATTTTACTAAATAATGAATAACTAAAATAAAATTATAAATAAGAATGAGATAAATTAAAAACAAAATGATGTTAAGTTGCTTATTGACATATAAAAGAACAAAAACGGAAAATATTTTTAAAAAAATACATATGGTTTTCAGCCTGGGTTCCTATTCACAAGTAAATTTTATGATTCATTCTAATTTTAATATGTACTTAAAATACTATAGCATAAGAAGAGAAATAAAAAAAAAACCTAAATGACAAGATAAATCAAAGTATTATTAATGATGTAGACATGGTTGATCGTTGATATAATATGAGAAGGAGTTGATCGGGGGATTATTTTATTTTCACCATGTTCTGTATCTTTTGTAGCCCTGATGAGGACCTGCAAAGTGGGTCGAAACATTGGCAAAAATTAAATAATTCTACTTGTTTAATTTATTATTAATTTGACCGCACCTCCCCCCCCCCTCCCGATCAACTCCTTCTCAAAGTATTATTAATTTATAGAACCATATGGTTTAATCTCTTGTGTTTATAAACAATACTGGCCATAGGGTTGGGCAACCCCTAGGCAATAGACCTGAAGGGGAGTACCAGCCACTTATTAAAAAAAAAAAATAAATAAAGCATATGAGAATAATTAATTCTAGCCTTTTTACTTTCACTTATCTATACATAAAATATGTAGTAAAGGATAGTATTGTGATTGTGAAAATTTTTGAACCTCAGTTTTCAACAGAAATACATGCTTTGAAGTCCCCTGAGTCCAAATAACCAAGTCTCATAAAATGGTCCTCTGTATGTATGTGTTAACAGTCTAGCTCAAAAACGAAAAGTCATACATAAGTGAAATTCCATATTTAAGGTTTGTATATACCTGGGATTTTACTACTTTTTTGTCAAAATTTGCTAACTGGAAGTGGAGCTACATATCATCGATTTAACTCATTTTTATGATTTTCTCAAAAATGGCTCTAATGATTTTGATTAAATTAATTATATCAGTGTAAAATTAAGCAGTTTTGTAATATAATGTAGTTTTATTCTCATTGATGTTTTTTAACAGGGCTTAAATGACTAATTTTCAATATTTCTTCCTCCAAAGTACCTTTATTTATTTTTTTATTTGAAATAATTAACCATTTCACATTAATCTCTGATATAAATAGTTAAATATAAAATATGAAAAAATTTGATGATTAATTAAAGGAGAAATAAGAGATCATAACAGAGAATAGTTGTAATGGAAGAAGCTCGCTCGAAAGATGGAAGCTCTGTCTTCCATACATAACATGAGCTTTATATAACAAAAACTCTGACAATATTTTGTACGTATACATATGCGGTTTTTATAAATGCTACTATTGGTATTATTTAATATTTAATTGTATAGATTACAGCGATATAAAAATTAAAATTTGTATATGTACTGGTACTTAAACAAATAAAAATACTCACAATGAAATGTAAATAAATACAGCTGCTTTCTTTATCAGTGGCACTCTTGTCGGACTAATAATGTTTTATGATACTTAATTATTTATTATAATCAAATATATAATTGAAATATACAGCCGTGAAAGGAAATGGCTAGTGATAAATTTAATACATTAGACGGCTATGAAAAACGTATGGTAATTAATTGTTTCAAATGAAAAAATATTTCCTTGGTAATAAGGCTAAAAAATTTGATAAAAGACATGGAGTATGTTCCTTTTCCTACTAATTATCTAAAATAAATTGATCATTTTATGTTTTATTTAATTTACTTTAGTTATGATTATAAAATGATACACTACCAATGTAATATGATTTAGTTCATAAACAAATATTTTTAGTTGGATTCTAGAAGATCAATAAGTAAAATTCGACACTTTATAGCATAAAAATAATATATTTAATGATTCAAATCAGGTGCAATGAAACAGAGCATTCTGATAATATACCTTACAGAGTAATGTAAGTGTTAAATTCATTATCCATCAGCCATTACCTCTTCCACTAGTCATCATCACCATCGTCATTGTTGTTGCGTTGGATATCTTCCACACCAAGTGCTCTTCGAAAAAAAAGCTCTATCTTAATTGGGAATGTAGGCCATCATTTTCCTCAAGTCGTGTAGCTTTTCTTTCTTAATGGGAACTTTTCTATCAGAATAGGCTCTAATGTAAGGTAGTTCTAAGTTTGAGTTTCTCTTCAAAAACTTGAATGTAGATTTTGCTAGGAAATCAATAATTTATGATGTTTCAGCACACCCAGGCCGCGCACCTTTGTAGGTGGATTGCCGATATTTACTGATGCCAAAAGATTACCATTTAATAGTCTTTTTAGCTATAGATCTTCACCCATCCTTTCTACATGCCCAAGCCATTTTATACAGCTTGATTTAACGTAAGTGATTATGTCTGGTTCTTTATAGAGTTCTTGGAATTCTCTGTTATTTCTTATTTTCCATCGGCCATTTATACATAACCGCCCAAAGAATTGCCGAAGGACCTTCCTTTCATAGATCCGGAGGATCTTCTCGCATTTCTGTGTCAGGACCCATGTTTCACCTGCGTAAGTGACAATTGGTCTCAAGATAATGTTATAAACCATTAGCTTTGCCCTCGTTGAAAGATTTCGAAAACGCAATGTTTTCTGTAATGCAAAAAGACATCTGTTGCCTGCTGTTATTCTTGCTTTAATTTCAATGATGTCATTTTTGTACCTCACTAAGGCTCTAAGATATTTGAAACTGCCAGCTTTCTTAAAAGTGTGGTGGAGCAGATGCATGCTATCTTGTCGCTTCTGTCCTTCACTTTTTGAGGATATCATATATTGGGTTTTTTCCTTATTTATTTTAAGACCCAATTTTTTTCCAGCATCCTCAAACTCCTGCAAAGCCCCTGATAGTGTAGCATTAGATCTTGACGATATCACCATGTCATCAGCATACGCTAAGTATTGGGTAAGACTATTATAGATTGTTCCTCCTGAGTTTGCCTTTATTGCTCTAGCTACTTGCTCCACTGCAATATTAAATAATACAGGAGAGAGAAGATCTCCTAGGTGTATACCTTTCATTATCTCAAATTCTTCTGACAGAGTATTCTGTATCTTCGCAGTTCATTTCTGTTGAGGCTATCGTATGCTTGTTGGAAATTGATGAAGAAGTGGTGGAGATCTTATATTATGTTGATATACTTTCAGCATTTATCGATTAGAGAAGATGTGGTCTATTGTACTTCTCCGAAAGTCACTGGTCTATTGTACTCTATTCTACTGGTTGAAAGCCACTTCGGTTTATGGCAACTGAGAGAACCTTGTAGACAGTGGACAGCAGGGCGATACCTCGATAGTTTTGGCAGTTTAACCTGTCTCCCTTCTTATGTATCGGGAACAAAACTGCCACATTCCAATCCTGTTTCATCTTCATTTCCATCCAGACATCATATATCAGGTTATAAATCTCCTCCACCAGTGCCTCGCCACCATATTTCATAACCTCATTCGGAATACTGTCTATTCCAGGAGCTCTGTTATTATGGAGTGTTCCGATTATTTCCTCTCTATCTGGTGGTATTTCTTCTTCCTCCAACGCCACCGAGTCTCTCCCATAATGGTGCACTTTGTCTTTATTGATTGATGATGCTGAGTCAGGGTATAATAATTCTAAAAAAAATGCTTCCATCCAAAACAGATATTTTATCTCCTACTAGATTTTCCTCACTATCTTTAATGAATTCCAGCCTTGGTATATAGCCATTCCGAAATTCTCTCATGCTTTTAAAAAACTTTCTGGTTCGTTTAGTTGCAAAATCTTCCTGAAGTTTTTCCAGCTTTTTAGTTTCATACGTCCTTTTCTTTTGCTTGCATATGGTCTTTGCAGCCTTTCTTTTAACATTATTTGACATGTCACATGAAACTGATTTTAATTCAAACACAGGATTAGTTTTCCTGGCTCCTTGTATCAGTGTTGTGTAGGCATTTGGCGGCTACGAACGCTTTACTGTCCCAAATGTTCTATAGTATGGCATAAAACTGTGTTCTCTAATAGAATGATATTTTTGAATAACTTCAAAACTTTTATTCACTGTTAAGGCAGACATAAGTCTACAGAGTGGTTACGATTCTGACCTTCATAACCATTGCTGAACAAATGCAGTTCTGTGACTGTATCAGGGATGTGGTTTGAAATGAAATCTAATACTAAAGAACAGACTTCATCAGGCCCTTTTTCGCATCTTCCTCTGGATATGTGTAAAAATAACCTTTTCATTTTTCATATCATAGATACTAAAAACATAATACCAAAATTTGAGCAAATGAAATATTTCCTGCACTGGTATGGATTTGCATGTAGTCAAATACTATGCCTCGAACTTCAGGTAGGGACTGAGATAGTTCTTTTACTTCATTCAGTTTCTTGTAAAAATTTTTAGTTTGCCTCTTGTGCACAATGAGCTCGTCTGCCGCCACACGTATTGCGTTATCGTTGATCATCATTAGCAGACTTTATTTTTGTTCATAGGTCTCCATAAATGGTGCAGACGTCTACTTGTGGCCTACCAAAGCGGTACCCAAACTTGTAATTAAAGTCATTTCGAACCAGTTTGACATTTGACATTGAGGCGATAAGAGAAGATAGAATCTGACATTTTTTCACTCACTCGTATTTTCTGATGCCTGTAGCATTCATCTACAGCTTTCAAATCTGTCCCTTCTTATACTCAATGGATGCATGCAGGTATAAAGAGCTAATTGGCTATCTTATCTAAAATTTGATTTTTTTTTTATTCTCCTTTTTCCTTTCACCAATTCAAATAATGTTTCTTACTCTATATAATTTTTACTTTCACTTCCCTTTGTCTTAAAATATTTATTTCTGCTAAAGAGAGGGTGGTGATTGAAAGTTATGTGATGCACGTAATGCACCCGATTTTATTTGTCCATTCCTTACTCGTCTTTTTGACTATACGAGTTTTTTTCCGGACCAGGGGAGAGAACAGGAGATTAATGCCAGAGTTAAAAGCCTGTCCTGTCACCGGAACATGAACTCTCTATTATTTTATCATTCAAACTTTGGTTGATTGCCAGATATCACATGTTTGGCTAATGCATTAGCCCACTCATCCCGCCGCCTGTTATTAATTATAAATTAATATAATTTATATTAGTTATAAACTCATTTATAACCCTTTAGTTTATTCATTAATTAATTTAGAATTTATAACTCCAGCTAGATATAAATTAATTTAACTCTTCAATATATATTTTAAAAAAAATAAAGATAACATAAGATTTGAAGCTTACTTTTTGAACCCAGGATTCCATTGGGATTAGTCGTGTTCTTCAGTAATTTAACACGGAAATCTATTGGAATATCCTTTGGTCCAGGAGGCCAGTAATCCTGTAATAGAACAGATGGATTATTTTCCACTATCTAAAATTAATTTAAGGTATAAGTAAATATAGAGTATTTTGATCTTTATATGCACGTTTTAGTTTATTATTTCCAATAAAGGTTTCTTTGTAAACAACTTTTAGTTCTGTAAATAAATCACAAAAATTAAGTGATATAGTAATTCTGGTTGAATTTCGACTATTGAGTGATCCTAGTTAAATCTGATCAGTCTATAAAAAAGAATATATATATATATTAACAAACCTAAAAAAAAAATCATCAATTTTAACTTATATTCTATATGTAATTGGCTGAGATACTCTCTTATCTTTTTAAACTATTTATCCTAAGCTCACTTACTGCTAATAAGCCGTAACCCCTCATGATATACTGTAGGATGAACAAAAGAATGTTGTCATGACTCGGGCAGTTTTCTATTGACAAGTAAGCTCATGTTATTAGAGCCACAGCTGAAAGTTGTTCCAAGCAAACTCCATGCTTAGTTTGTATAATTTGTTCATTAGCCCTTTGTTGACCGGTAATTTTTAACAGAAACTATGTCATCACCAGCTATTATTTTGTAATTCAAGTGCACAATGTCTGGGCATGAAAAGAAGAGTTAATTTATCACTCATCAACAATATATTATTAACTCCAACACAGCCAGAAATCCACTGATATACAGTACCTTTGAATGCCAAATCTGACAATTTCATGACAATCAATGTACTTCATATTTGTATTTTAAGACCATATTGAAGATAATTGAATATTCCTACTATGAAATGCAAAAAACAAGTACCACTTTCTCAGTAAATTAATATACTGTAAAATTTTATTTGTTAGAATGATATACACCTTTACCAATTTCCTTAAACGGTCAATATTCCAGATATACATCCATCTTCAAGACCATCACTCAAATATGAGCTACACTATTGGTTATATTATTAATGTTTATATTGTCCTTACATCAATCTCTTTGTTGAGATTTATGTTATCATATCAATATAATAATGGAGGAGCTTCAGATTAAAATTCAATTTGTCCATTTTCTGATTCAGTTCATTTTAAACCATAATATCTTATTGATTTTGGCAAGAAATCTAAGTATGAACTTTTTTGTTCATATTGCTTTTTTCACATATTTATACGACCATTGAAGTTTGTTATTTACTCCTAAATTAAAGTTGTCCAGTTATTTTCTGTATTAAAATGAATTTTGGGAATGAAAATTGACAAAATTTACATTTCGAACTGCAACTCTTAAATAATCAATCATAATTTTTTATTAATAATTTTTAATATTGTAGTCCTCATCATTTGAAAATTTGCCTTTCAAATCAAATTAAAATTAAAAATAAATCATAATCGATACATATGATAAAGTTCTTACAGAAACCACAACTGGATCTGCTTGGAAGGAAAATATTTACTGAGAGAAGACGGATTAAATAACTCGGCTCAACAATAACCACAATGAATCAACAATATTCAAAAATATATTAGCATATAATCAATGTAAATAGATCTTTCTTCTCTCTTTTAAAGACATTGAAATTCCAAAAGATCTCTAAAAATATTGAATCAGTAATGTATAATGCCATAACAATGGCAGTTCTAATATGTTTAGTTGTGAGACCTGGACAATAACCATCATTTTTGAAAGAAGTATTTAAAAATATCCTCTTCACGGTAACTAGGGTCTGGGATCAGAATACCAAAGCATGAAAGAGGAGGATTAATAAAGAACTGATTACTGCTGAAACTGGTCAATCTATGTTTCAATATATTGTAATGTACACCTTTATTGGAAGTAAGTAAAAAGGTTTAAATAAATTAATGTTGAACAATTAAAAGGCAAGCTAATCTAGTTCTACTAGAGCAGGGAAAAGAGAATGGCTGCTCTGTATTTTCCCAAGAAGGAAAATCCTAAAGAGGAGAGGGACAAAGGTTTTTGTTTTGACAAGTAATTATTGTGTGACTGCAGTGAAGAGAGGATAGGAGAAGTGATCCTGGCTCCAGTGGGAAAAACCCAGTAATAGTATTTATTACCATCTTGAAAGTTTTTGTTTGGCAGAGTTGTTTGGAAGTACAAGAGAGAGAGTATATCTCAGGGAGCTTAAGTTGAAGAAGAAAGTGTCAACATCCTGGAAGATGTGTTTGGCATAACATAGGAAAATGTTAGAAGAGAAATGAATTTAGTGCAGCAAAGGAAGAAACATTGTATATAGAAAAAAAGTTAGCTTGCCAATCCATATTTGACTTTATTTTAAAATCAAACAATGTTTAGTATAGTTAATTTTAGTTTGTCTGATTGTCAGTAACCCACACCTGAAATAAATAAATACATTAATTCTCTTATAATTTTGTTTATTATTAAACAACCTCTTATTTATTTAGGAAGTATCCCAATGGTCAGAAGTGAGATTCCGAGGTTAGATTATTATTATTATTTGTGAAATATAAGAGAGATGTTACATTATAAGAATCAGATTTTGTGCTTATAATCTTACTTTTGATATATGTCTGTTTTAGAAAAAAAAAAAAACAATGTATATATATATATATACACTGACAGGCAAAAAATTCCACCCACTTGATTTTTCCATGTTTTCATCTAAAAATATTTCTGTAAAGTTGTATTTGTATATAATACATGGTATTTGTAGATAATCCTTAGTATTTATGGAATTTTATAATTTTTTTTACCTTTAATAATCAAAATGTGATTGGGTAAGAAAAATTAGAGAAAAAAAAATTGAAAAACGAACCATTATTATTCTAAAAGAAATTAATTACATCATCGTTTAGTGGCGTGTGTTTCCTCCTCTTGCCTTCACTACTTCTTGAAGACGCCTCGGCATACTTTCCACCAGTCGGGAAATGTCCCTTTGCTGGAGGATAGCCCATTCCTCCCGAAGAGCCCTTTCAAGGTCCTGTAGTGTATCAGGAAATGTTGCACGAGCTCTTATTCGTCTTCCGAGGTTATCCCATAAATGCTCAATGGGGTTCAAATCTGGAGAACGTGCTGGCCAGGCTAATATTGTTCTGTTGAAAGAAAGACTGCACTATGCGGGCGTGCATTAGAATAGAACGATCGCCGATTTCGTTGAGGATAGGCAACACATGAGGTTCCAAAATCTCATCTACATAGCGAATGGCCATCAAAGACCCTCCACAAACAACAACCAATTCTGTGCGGCGCTCCATTGAAATCCCAGCCCACACCATTAAGGAACCACATTGGAAAGGTTGACTCTGGGATAAATTACAGGCTGCATATCTTTCGTTTCTTCTTTTCCACATCCTTTCATGCCCGTCTGGAGATCGAAGAGCGAATCTTGACTCATCTGTGAAAATTACAGCACTCCATTCGTCCATAGTCAAATGGCTGTGTTCTCGAGCAAAAGCCAGCAGTGTTACTCTGTGAGTTCTGGTCAACTCTGGTCCTCTTACTGGACGAAAAGCCATTAATCCATACTCATTTAATATTCTCCGAGCGGTACCTTCAGAAATTTGCACACCTCGAACTTCTTCAAGCTGATGAATCGCTTGAACAACGGTAAGGTGCCGGTTTCGTAAAATTCTCAAAGTCAAAAACCGGTCATCCTGTGGTTCTGTTATCCTAGGCCGTCCAGCACCGGGCCTTCTGTTGTAAGAACCAGTTTCCCGAAAACGACTGACGGCGTCTCGTAAAGTTTCATATGGTACTCCGATGGCATTAGCTGCATATCTAATGGAAGGTCCATCGTCAATAAGTGCCACACCACGCACAACATCCTCAGCACTAAGAGGCATTTTTAAACTTAATACTGAAAAAATTAAAAGCGGGAGACTAAGAAATGTGCTGCAAGAAATGGCACTGAACTAATGATACTGAATAAACATTTTGATTCCATAGAAAGTAAAAATTGGAATCTAGAATCATTTCATTGAATTAAGGGTTATTGTCCTCTATATTAACATTCCTAATTGAAAACAAACAAAAAAATTAACTATTTATTCATTAAAAACAATAGACCAATCCAAAGCAGAAATATTTTTAAGTGAAAACAAGAAAAAATCAAGTGGGTGGAATTTTTTGCTTGTCAGTGTATATATATTTGTACAATATTGAAACAAAAATTTCTGAACTAAGGACTAAAGTGGGCTCAATATATTTTTTAAAGAAAAAGATAAGATTTGTATTTCACACCTCCAAAAAACATCAGAATTTTCATACCAATCAAAAAAATAAAAATTTTGGCTTGAAATTTCTGCCAAGCTGGAGCCTTAGATTTTTTTTTTTTCAAATATTGTGATAACTTCGACATGGCTCTGCTTATCTATGTAAAAATTATCATGAATTTAGGACCCTATAATATACACAAAATGATACAAACCAGACACCCACAAATAAATATAATAAATAATTTTTTTTCTCTATTTATTCCTTATAAAGATGTAAAATCTAAAAGTTATTGATGTGGTTTTAAAGAGCAATAATTTATTTTTCCAACAGTTGTGGTAATATTGACTAAGGAGAAAATCCTGAGGAATTATGAATATTTTAGTAAATAGCATAACAAAAATCCCATAAAATTGGATCCAAAAATTTATATTTTTTGATTTCTAAACAAACTCGCATTTAAGAATTTTAGTGGATGATAAAAAGGAATCTGAATAATTTTTTCATGAAAACAATTTACTTTGCCTAATTTACTGGAAGCAACTTTGGTTTTTTGTAATTTATTATAATTAGAATTTGTTTAAAACAATTAGCAATTGTTTTTCTTATTTTATCCCAAAAAACAAATCAATTGATATGTAATAACTTATAATTCCATGTAGAGAAAAATCAGAAAACAGTAAAAAAATAATAATAAAATTTTATTAAATATTTGTTTTCTCAACTCCTAAGTGCATTGGCAAGAACCCTCGAATATAGGTCTAATATTTTTCGACCTAGTGTCACCAAAAAAAATTTCATTGAAATTGGTGACTCCATGTGTATAGCCTCCCTTTGTCAGTATATACCTCAACTTTGAAAACCTAAAACTTTCAACAGATGACCACTATATTGATAAAATGAAAGGTATTATAATCAATTAAAATGTACCCAAGTTCTATCTGTTAGAAGAGTGCCATTTTGTTTATCGTAAACAATCTCCTCAAATATAAAGTAGCCAAGTCCCATTATAAATGCTCCTTCCACTTGCCCTACATCCACATATGGGCTCAAACTGTTACCAGCATCCTCTATTAAATCTATCCTCGTTATCTGAAATGTAATATTCCTATAAATTTAGTATATTTTATTAATTTACGATCTTTTAAATATTTTAAAAATACTTATATTCTTTTAAATTAAACAATTCTATCATTAATTTTAAACTTCACCATTCTTATCATGTTCATTTGTACTTGAGAGTGGAAAATAAAATGATAATCTAAATATGAGGCAACTAAATCAATTATAGTGATTTCTTTTTCTTTTCAAGGCCATTTCAATTGATTAAACAGAAAAAAGAAGGAATCTGTCCAATAAATACTTTATTTTATGTTGGAGCAAAAAAAAACAGAGTAATATTTCCTTCTTAATTTTAAAAGAATTTATATGATCCAAAATGCACATTTATACGTCCATCCTTATATGGATCGAAAGCCACATATACACTTTACTATTACATTACCTGTTACTGTTCTGATATAAAATTAGTTCCATTATTTTATGGTTTCAGACTTAGACCCTAGTAAAGGAAATCAGACCATTTATTAGTTAAAATTTAATTTTTTAGGATAAATAATTTTACGAATTGTTTTTCTCAGGGTTTGAAATCAATAATTATTTTTCCACAAAATCATGAAATAATTATTATATTTGATTTTTTATTTTAAAATCATGCCTGATTTATAAATAAACATTTAAACCGATCTTTGATTTTTATTTATTCGATTAAAAATAATAATCACTCAGTGAGTGATTTATGATTTTACATAAATAATAATGATTAAATTGTGATTAAAAAAATTTAAATAAGATAATGGAAATCACCTTTTACACAAAAATTCAATAAATATATATGTACATAATATGTATGTAATATAATATGTATGTATTCATTATTAATGTACACATTTTTTAATATTATATTTCTGAAATCACTTTATTTTATCTGCACCATACATATTATTTTTTTTTTTTTGTAAGTCGAAATTTCTAATAAATTTCGGAAATAAAGATGTTCTGTTGATAATGGTTGATAACAGCATTTTCTACCTACTACTCCAGACTCAAAATATATCATAGAGTTAATACACAAAAATTAATTTCTGATTTAAAAAAGTATTACTCAAAAATTATTATTATTATTGATATTTAAAATTTTAATCAAAAATAATGATCAGGATATGGTTTTTATCACTTAAGATCAAAAGTAAAATTCAAATGATTTTTAAAAATTTTGATCTGATCTGATTTTTACTTTTTTAATTATTAATTATTAATTTCAAACTCTGTTTTTCTAGTTCTATTGGTTCAAAATGAGTAATAAAATATTTACTGAAGGTAATTACAACGTAATATACAATGAGTTACTTGATATTCGCCAGTCAAAATATCGGCTTCCACTTCTGTGACAGTTGCTCCATAAACTTGGTAGTTGGCTGGGATTGGATCTTTTGTAGAAGAATACCTGAATGATAAAATATTATTATACTAATGAAGACTATATTATATGATAATTTTTATGAAAAATAAGCATCTATCAGGGCCTTATTACTATCATTTTTGAATCAGGATATCTCTTAAAGAGAGAGAGAGAGAGTGAGAGAGAGAAATATTTTATTGAAAGTATTGCTGTCCTACTATGTAGTGTTACTTTTTACACAGCATACTGATCATTCCATATAGACATAGCTCTTCTCTTTTCTCCTTCATGGGTGCTACAACTCATCGCTGAGTCTTGGCCTCCTCAATTAGTCTCACCCACTGATCTCTCTCTCTTGCAGCTCTCCTCCAGTTAGCCAGTCCAAGAAGAGCTCTACCATCTGCGTCGACCCCATCCATCCAGCGTGATCTAGGTCTTCCAACTCTTCTTTTTCTTCCGGATGCGTTGGCATAATTTTGCTGGTTGGGTTATTCTCATCCATTTTGGCTACATAGCCCTCCCATTTTAAACACTGTATTCTAATGAACCAGACTACATCCATATCATCATGTATGGAGGCCAGTTCTGCATTACTCCACCTTCTCCAATCATTACCTGAGCTTACTGATCCATAAATGCGATATAGTACTTTTCTTTAAAAGACCAACAGCTTGTTTTTGTCTGTTTTGGAGAAGCTCCACGTTTCCGCTCCATATGTAAGGATAGGACGAATCAGTCACTTTTGTTTTCCTGGAGATTAAGTGATTGCTTAGATGCCACCGCAGGCCAAAATAACATTTATTTGCTGCCAGGATCCTCTTAGATATTTCCTCTGACACCTCGTTGTAGGCATTTACTTGGCTCAGATAAACAAATCGTTGGACCGTTTCGATTGTGTAGTCACCAATCGAGATTTGTGGACGTGGTGCATTTATGCCAGCAACCATGTACTTGGTTTTGCTCTCATTTAGAGACAGTCCCATCTTCCACGCAGACTGTTCGAGAGCCAGAAAAGCCTCCTTTACGCCATATAGCTCTTACATCATATTATTCCATTATTATATGAACATATCATTTTTTTTTTATCCCTTTTCACGAAACTAGTCTGTATACCATATCATTAACAATACCACATTAAACAATTACCATTATACAATACATATATTTTATGAAAGAAAACAAATTAATACTCATTTATATTTTGTAAATCATGCGATGCTTGATGTAATAATGAATATATATTATATAATGATGAATAATGAGTATATACTTTTATTTTTTTGGAGTTCTTAAAATTAATGTTTCTTAATTATCTAATTATTTTGAGTATAGATAATTAATAAGACAAATAATTATAATTTACTTGTTTATAAAATGAAAAACTGGTAATTTTTATTTTTTCCAATTTCATGGGTATATTATAAGTTTATAGATAGTCTAGTCATTAAACCTTCCATATTTTCATTCTTTAGGCATTTAATTTGTACAACAATAAATAAATATAATATTGGTGGCAGCACTGGTTCAGACAAATGAGCAGCATGGATTGGATCTATTTGCTATCGGGGTCAATTGGAGTAACATAGTATCTAGATTGCTTTTAAAAGCTCCCTTTTCCATAACAAATATTCATCAAAGTTGTTAGTAATTTAAAGTTATAAAATTTTACTTAATGTGTCTTAATCTTTTTATCACTTGATCTTTTTACAGTATGCTGTTCTTTTTAGCACCTCTAGTTATAAATGTAATGATAAAGAAAGTAACACTGGTTCAGACTACAGCACTACAGACTACGGTCACAAACCACAAACAGTACACACCCTAGGGCAATCTTTTCTAGGTAGCCGTCCCGGATGGGGGAGTAAGTCAGGATGCTTAGAGGAGGCAGTCCCTCCACCTGATTTGGGGACAGATTGGGTTGAATGCTCACTCCCCTTAAATTCAAACTAATCATGGAACCTATCATTTATTTATAAATAAATAAATTTTTAATGAAGGGGAACATTAATTGCATTTTAAATCGTAAGATTACATTCAGACTGAATAATATTGAGAAAGTGGATATAACAAAGAAAATAAAGTTTTGGGAATCACAAGAACTCCCATGTAGTTTGGACAAAAAAAATGGTATAACGTGGTCACTACAGATTAATATAATATTTGTGATGTAGAGAAAATATTTTTATTTTTTGTGTCATATTTTCTTCTTTAGGTGTCATTGTATGTTTGTAATTAAATTAAAAACGAATAGTTATATTTTACATGATGCTTCATCTATTCTCAAGTCTGTTAAAAATATTTTTTTCTTTAAATATATTTAAAAGTTTTCAATTTTTACAAATAGATTGTTTAATCATTTACTTTTACTTAAATATTTTTACTTTAAATGATTAAACTAAAATATCTTTTAAATGCTCTAAATTGTGCTAAAATACAAGTACGTAACTAAATAACCTAGGTGTAAAAATTTTAATATGTGAAAAAAAATTGATTTATTTTTAGAGTTGAGAATGGCTCTAGTAAGCCAAAATGCCATGTCGAAAATGAAAATAAAACTTGATTGGTGACTATTTGCTTTCAATTTTACTTCAAGTTTCCAATATTTTTTATTTATTTTAGATAATACTTAAATTAACTTATGATAGTTAAGAGGCATGATCATTGGAATAATGTGATGAAACTTACATATATTTAGCCGAAAGATCAATACCTTCAGCGTTGGCAGTGCTCACAACAAGTTGCCATGCAGGATTATCTCCCAGTCTGGTTCTAATAGGTGACAAACGGTTGTTGAGTATTTCACAACACTTTAAAGTTGCCTACAATAATGTTTAAAATTAAAAAAATATATATTAACAAAATTATTGATGAATATAAAATTTACTTTTAAAAAATTATTATTAACTATAAATGATAATAGTATTGAACAGGGTAATTGTCCACAGAAAAATCAGAACCCTAACTTGTTATTTATGATATATGTAACAAAAATATCAGATAAAGATATTACATAATATTAAATAATGTATCACTACTGTTAGTGCAAAAGATCGTATGTAAAAAGGTTACGTATTTATTCTGCTTGTGCTAAAGGTCACATTTTGCAGTCTGCAACTGCAATAAGTAGTCTGCTTTTATGGAATATAGCAGAGGGAAATAAAATATGAAATTATACCAATAAATCATAAAGAAATGATCAGTTTTTATGCCCTTCTGTAAAAAAATTCAATTTTTACATACAATCTTTCGTTTATATAATGTTACCTATACTTTATTGCAGTGTTAAGAAAAACTTACCTTAAATAATGGGAAACAAATAATTTGTTCGAATAATGAATAATTTCGTTTATCTTCCATCTTAATAATACATAATTTGAAGTTATTATTACTTTTTATTCATTATTCGAATTTTCCAAATAAAATTGAATAATTGAAGTGTAAATTCCTTTGAGCAACCCTTTTTTAGAATCGTGCATCGAATATTTATAACTTTAAGGATTTTTTCCATATAAGGGTCCACTTGTATGTTATCGATGATGCTTTTATGAAAATATTGTCAGATTTAATATTGGGCAATCACGCATCAAATTTGTGATGCTTTTTTGATTTATTTGAAATAAAGGTCCACTATTGTGTTGTTGGGGAGGAGGGGGAGAGGGCGCTTTTTATAAAAATACTTTATAATTATATAATCATAATTGTAGCCTATATCCCCGTTCCCCTCTCTTCAGGCCTGATTCTAAGCACTTATCCTAAGCTTGTTGCTTTGCTTAGGATGTGTTTGGAAATCAACAAAATAAACATATATAAAATAAAACTGTACCTTCTGGATAATATAAGAAATATAATTATATTTATGCTAGATTATGTCAGGCAAATAAAATTTGCAGATATTTTGAATATTATTGAATATTTGCAGGTAAAATTTGACATAACATTCCAAATACCTTGGAGAAATAAAAGTACAACACATGAAAAGTATCTCAAATCGATTAGAATTCAGAAGAAGATGACAAAGAACATATATGTTTAAAGAATTCTTTTTAGCAGTGACATGTTTAAGTTACTCACCGCAACAATCGATTCTGAAGTAATACTAGATGCAGAAAAATTTTGATTCGGAACTACATTATTATAACATACTTTGATTTGAATCATATTCATATCAATTCCTAAAGCATAAGCACATGCCTGCACTACCTGAAAAAAAACAAACATTAAATGAAAAATGGTATAAACACTATAACCTTTAAAATAGGAATCGATCATTCCATGAAAAAAATTGCTTAAATTTACATCTTAAATGACAGAATGTGTTGATCAAAACCATTATTATTTCTTTACTATGATGATACAACTAACTTAAAGTTAGAAAATGAAATAGGCGTGGAACCCATAAAATGGTCAAAAATCGTTCAATGTGTGTTTTATTTCAATTAGTATATTCTTAAATTATTAAATTACTTACCTAGAAAAAAAATTAAAATAAATTTGGGATAAAAATTCTGGAATCAGGAATCCAAATTCACCTTTATCTTTCAACTGTGTTACCCAGGCTGTATACTTTTTTTAATGAATGTAATTTTGTACATGAGAACATCAATAAGAACATTTCCTACATTGTTAATTGTTAATGATATTTACTAATAATATTATAAGATGAAATTAAATAAATAATAAGTAATTGATAATAAATAATAAGTAATGATATGTTATTGATTTCAGTAATCTTGATAAAATCTTTAATCTCACCTGCACTTTACTTTTCTAAATTAAAAACAATAATTATTTATAAGTTACCTTAGTGTTGAGTCCTTGTCCCATTTCAATGCCACCAGAAGTTATTGCTACCGTTCCATCGTTATTAAAAATTGATACTATTGCATAATAACTTGGATAAAGAGTAATTCCAAACCTTATTGGCATGGCAGATATTCCTCGTTTTTTCCATCTATTTTCCTTTGAAAATTAATAGAGATGAAAATAAATTACAAAATTATATTTTAAAATACTGAATTTCACAATATTAAGAAAAATTGAACATTAATAAACATAATTTTAAATATTAAAAAATCTCACTTTAAATGATGGACCATAAAACATTGATCATTCGCAAATTTCAATACATACTTAAATAAAGCTTTTTATTGAATTTAATAATAATCCCTAGCAGTAAAATTTAATTTATTTTAGCAGTGCTTGCAGTGCATTTTGAGTGAAATAAAAACAGTAAACTTTCTAAATTTAAACCCTATTTTACTGTTACCCTAATATAAACTGTTACCTATTTTATTCTAGTAATGAATTGAAATGGTATTTAAGAACTTGTACCAAGAAAGAAAAATTGGTTGGAAATGCATAACAACTTTCGACTATTTAATTGTTACTGCCCTGATGATGAACCTGAAATTGCCAGGACCATACAATTTTTTTTTTTCTGAAAGTGCTGAGCTGTTATCCATTCTACACTATCCATGGGAGGAAGAGCGAACAATCGGAATATGATGTGTTATTCCTTTTATATAAATTATATTATTGGTAATTAATTAGAATACCTACCTTATTAAACTCATTGACTTCAGAAAGTCTTTTTTCATAATCTGAACTTGAAAGTGCATCTTTTAAAATATTTTCAACAGATGCTGAATATTCCGGGGAAAAATTAGCTCTTCGAACACTGATTGGATCCAGATCACATACCGTTGCAATATGGTCCATAATATGTTCAATTGTAGTTATACCTTCAAGAGTTCCTGGAAAGATGGCATCAAATACATTACATTATAAATTGATTATTTGTGATTGATTCCATTGTCCTATAGTAAATACCCTCCAGTATTTACTCCTTTATGTGACATTGTGTGAGGGAATGAGAAAGAATATATTGGAATATGATATTGCACTATGAATTGTACTCAATTGTGCAGTGGACAAATTATTCATTGAAAAGTCTGATATCGATAAACAATCGACGAAGGAGGAAGAAGGTTGGAATAGGACAGAGCAGGTAGGAACAGCTGAAGAAGAACGCTAGAGAGAAGAGAAGACACTCTAGGCTGGGACAGGAAGGAAGGAAGTTGTCAGAAGAGAGAGGTACTGCACTGAAAATTAAGCCTAAAGTTATAAGACTTTAATAGATTCACTTATTACAGTTGTAAAATAAATAGTTTTGTTAGACAGGAATGAAAAGTCATTTATTTATTTAGTTGTCCTATAGGCCTCACAATTGAAGAATAACAAACTAGGTGAGTCAATTCATTCAAAGTGTATTTGCTCATTCCCACATTTCATATATATATTCTTATTGTCTCTTGTCACTCAGTGCCACAAAAGTATTAGGTTCCCGAATTCCCAACAACAGTTAAACACCCTCATCCATTGCAGGGATTTTGTTTAAATAAAATTATAATCACGGGTATAAATAACCTAGTCCCTCGGTAAATCGGAAGAATATTTACAATTCCAGCCAAATAGGAATATTTACATTTAACATTTAATAGGTTATTTACAGTTCTTTAAGCAGATGGAAATTAAGCCACTTTGTAATAAGCTGGGAGGTTAATGCTTAGTTTTTCTTAATAATGAATTTTAAGAAAAACTGGCTGTAATATTAAACAAACTTAACATCTCCACCTTCTTCTCGGCTTACATCAACCAACATGTGAGGCATGTGAAAATGCTAATCTGACAGTTGAACACATAGTCCAGTGCAAAAAGTTCCGGAAACAACAAATCGAACTCCAAATTGAAGACAAGACACCATACAAGGAAAACACTGGTATTGAAAAAATGCTGAAGTACATCCGAAAAATAAAATTGATAAGTTATATTTAAGAAGAACGATCATCGCTAATGACCTTGGCAGTCGATGCGACGTTAAATAACAGCAAATAAAAAAAAAAAAAAAACTTAATTAGTTCAAGAATGTCAGATATCATGACTAGATGATATTCTTAAAAAAGTTTGTTATATGAATTTTTAACATAATAAATTAAGAATTATTTTGCAGAATAAATTGTAATCCTATTCAATTTTATTGTTGATTAATTTTGAAAGATAATGGCAATAAAATATATTGTTCTGAAACACAGATTGGTCAGCAATGTGACAAAAGTGTTGAGATCACGACCTGAATAAAAAATTAATAAGTAATAATAATCTTGCATTCTAAATTGAAGACCATGATGCAAGAACAAAATGAAGTAAGTACAAATTTTCCAATCTTTTAAAATCTTTTGTATGTTGAGAATCAGGTGTGGGTACTCCTTAAATAGCCGGTCGGGACCGACTGCTATCTATCATTGTTTATAACCGTAATACTCATAAGGCACTGATAATTCCTATCTTCGTATTTATATTTATTGTATTATATTCATATTATTGAAATTGTTAACAAAAACAAAAACAAATGTAATAATAAACAAATACTTTTATTTTACAACATATATTGTAATATAAATATTACATAGTGATTTTGAATAGTGGTGTGAAGATAGTGACGTCCCGAACTACTGTCAAAAAGGAACAAATAATGACAGATGGTGGGGGAAGAAGAGCCAGAAAGAGCCAGATGATGGTCAGAAAGTGACCGGCCAGCTAGTAAAGAGGATCGAGGAGAACAAGTAAGAAAAAAGTAGTCAGCGTCAGTAGAAGGTTGTGGAAGTTGAATGCACCAATACAGAGAAGTTGCTGCAGAACAGCTTGAGTGAAAAATATATAGTGACAGTTCGAAAGCGTGCCAAGAGTAAACTTCGACAAATTTAATGGAAATTTATAAATGTGCTGTATAATTAATGTATGCTTTTATATTGTATAATTGAGGGTGTGTGTTTGTTGTCTACACCCAACCTGAGAAATAATTCATTTCATGACCTTCATCACAATATTTCACCTTTGCAATTATACCGGTGTCTTGAAAATATTCGATAGCCTCCTCTTCTGAAGACGGCAATTCTCACAATGTAACAATAATTCATAATTTTAAGAAAACCACACTTATTGAACAAAATCGATGGAATAACTCACAGCTTATATGAGGAACAAAAAATAAATAATGGAATAACTCAGGTTACAGGAGATAAGAGGGAGTTTATGTGATGTAACATTAGATAACAAGGGATGTTTCGTCACCACCAGCTATTTAAGGAGTACCCAGGTGTGTCTTGTCTGTTGAGAAATGTAATATCAGTGTATAAATAATGTGAAAAGACTACAACATTGATTCATAACAACTCGGTTATTCGTTGGTGCATGAACCAGAGATGTCCAGACTCGCAAATTTTGGATGAAGACTACATGAAATTAGACTTCCGAGCTGTATATGACTCTTTATGTCATAGAGATGCTTTATAAAGTTATGAATATACCATCCAAACTTGTCCTTATGGTTAGAGTAGAACAATGTGACTAGCCATAACTAATCCAAGAAGAAAAATATGGTTGCAGGGACTGACTTATGTGAACCATGTATTGAGATACAGGGATACGAATTTGAAAAAGTCCAGGGATTTGAGTACCTTAGGTTGTTTGTAGATGCCGGAAATAACTCTTCCAAGGAAATAGAGAAGAGACTGTTAGATGTCACAAGGGGATTATTATTGTCTAATCACTAGCGGATCCAGGATTTAATTTTGGGGGGGCTTCAGCCCGAAAGCTTTTTTTTCATAAAAATGACGATAATTACTTTGGAAAAAAAGAAAGAAACCAACTATCTATATGGAATGTTGTTTAAGTGATTCCTTAAGTCCTTTTAAATGTAATTACACGAACAATAATAATTTAAGAGACAATTTTTTAATTTTTTTTTCCATAAAACATGGTTATATTTTACCATTTTGTGGAGGGCTTCAGCCCGAAAGCGCCCACCCCCCGTAGATCCGCCTGTGGGTCTAATTAACCTTTTTAAAACTAAAGTAATCAATAAGGACACAAAGGCTGATGGATGATGACCAGGTATAGAGACGAGTAGGGGCGATTTCTTTTGGAGACCAGAGTCCAAACTGGGCTGTAGTGCTGAAGATGTAAGTATGTATGATCCTATGAAATTTTTTAGTCCAGGATTAATTTTTTTGTTTGTCTCAAAAATATGATGCATTTATTAACAGGTAGTTTTTTTGTTTTCTTTTTCTCCTCTTCCTACCTTAGAGACTAAACAGAGTTTTTTCCAGTCCAGGGGAGAAGGCGGGAGAATTATGCCAGGGTTAAAAGTCCTCCCTCTCAGCACTGGGAATTCATCTTGTAATCTTCAGTTTATTAGGTTACCAGGCAATGCATATTTTACTCAAACATTAGTCCACTCAGCCACCCCAACTCCTGTTTATAAGTTATTTATTTATTTATTTATAGGTAGTGTCATAAACAGGATGAGTCTGGACTTACCAAGATTTTGTATTAATGTATGTTTATTGATAACAAAGTTTCTTTTGTCCAATGATGTAATTTTTTTCATGTTATTTACACACTAATATTGTATTTCTTCCCATTTTCCTAGAGAAAAATACTTTTGAAAAATTGGGATAAACCTAGTTCCTGCATCAAGGACCTCAATAAAGATTGCAAAAGAGGTTTAAAATTTTGAGTTACATACCTGGTGCCCTAGCGAAACATGTCCCGGGTATATCTGTCTTAACCAAATAACCGTTCACTGTCCAAGTTGATTTGTCATAACAACTTTCAATTCCATCTAATGCGAGCATGATAATATTTTCATTAAAAGAGGATCCAAAATTCTCATATAGATTTACTGTAAGACCAAGAATCTTGCCTTTTTCATCAACTCCGACCTGTATTATTTGAAAAACAATCATTATATTTGAAAAAACAAAACATGAAATGACGGAAAATAAATAGTGGATTAGGTTTTATTTGCCACAAAAAGTAATAAATAATGTTTTTTTATTATAAGACGGGGCAATCAGTCCCCCTTATTCTTGGCACATAGATATTTTTTTCGTTTCAGATACCAACCTATTTTTCACTTATTAGTAACTATTAAGTCTGGTACTTGGCTTTTTGCTTGGTGTTTTCTAAAATTGTACATGGCCTTTTTCTATCAAATATGTAGACCTTTTTACTTTTTATCTCAACATTTTAATTACTAAATCATCTTTTCTTAATCTTTAATGTAACTATTGTGTATAGACTCAGATCCACAGATATGGTATTTCTGACTTTACTACTTTTCCCTTCTCATTACTGCTTGTGAGATTTTAATCTATAGGTCGCCCACTAGTATATGGCTTTTGGGAAATGAAAATAGTTCGTGAAAAGGGCAGAAATTCTTCTCTCTCTCTTTCTACACTTTCAACTGACCTGATGAACAAATCAACTACAAATGTCATATTTGTTTTCATTTTCAATTAAAAGAGGAGGGGCAGAGAATGAGGTATAAACAAAAAATATATTATTTGGCCAATTTTGTTTCTATTCCACATTATTAGTATATCAAAGTTGAAACCTGGGGAAAGGTAAGTTCATTTCTCCTTAAACTGAAATTAATTTATACTAAAACATATCAAATTGAATAAAAGATATTATAAAAATTAATACAATTACGATCACCTCATATTTGGATAGTAAAGCAGGCCGTTTTCCAATGGCCTTTGTATTTGTTCTCATTTCTAGGACCAACCTCACAGGTTGTTGCAACTTATGTGCGGCAAGAGAGCAAGCAGCAGCTATCATTGTGCTCCTAACAACTTTTGCTCCATAGGCTCCTCCTACTCTTTTCACAAATATATTTATTCTGTAAAAATTAAATTAATTAACATTCATAATTACAACATGTAACTACAGTAATTTTCTGTCAACAATAAAAGGAAAAATATTTAGGTGATAATAAATGCCACAGTTATGAAAAAAAAAATACTTTTTAAAGAATTAGTAAATGGTAGGTGATCATTTTATAAATTTGTACAGCACCACCAACGGATCCAGAATTTAATTTTGGGAGGGCTTCAGCCCGAAAGATTTTTTTTTTTGTATGTATATATTAGGATAAGAAATGTGAAAAAAGAAGATGTGAAAAGAGCAGCCCTTAAAAAGCTTACAGCAATCTATACAGGTCACTGTAAGCTAAATTACCATATGTTCAATCTCCGGGTAATGACGAATTCACTATGCAGATTCTGTCAGCAGGAGAATGAAACAGCCTTTCACATTGTGTGTAGATTCACAAGGCTGAGACTGGTAGTATTTGGGAAGGAACAAATGGATCTCCCCAGTAGATATGAGACGGTCAATCCAATCAGCCTACTTAGATACGCGGAAGCGACTAAAATAACGTTTTGATTAAAACGATTAATTGAAATTGGCACACAATGGACTCAATAGGGGTCGATGTGCCCTGGGTCAACATTTAAGAAAAAATATATATATATATTAGGATAATTATTTCGGAAGAAAGAAAGAAACTAACAACTTACATGAAAAGGTCTTTAAGTGATTCTTTAAGTCATGTTAGACGAACAATAATATTTTTAGAGATAATTCTTTTCATAAAACATTGTTCTATTTTACCAGTTTTCAACCCGAAAGCCTTCTCCCTTCCCTGTAGATCCGCCTGTGTACAGCACTATACAAAGGAGTCTAATTTCTTTTGTTCAGTTATCCCTAGTTCTTTTTTTGAAAATCCAAGTTATTTATTAGCCATTGATGGCTCATATCCTTATCAACATTAATAAATTATGATATTTTGAAGAAATAAACAAAGATAACAATAAATATATTCAAAGCTAAAAATAAATGTTAAGATGGCATACCACAGGAAGGCTCAGGATTAGAAGTCTACCTTTAAGGTGTTTATTGAAATGCTAATCTTAAAATCAAACAAATAATGTAAATGTTTGCAAATATATTTACTTGTTATAATTTATTCCTAGGACATTGGCAACACCTTCCTGTACGTTGTGCATCCATTGTGTAGCAGAATGTATATCCAGCCCATCAGATAAAGGAATACATAAACATGTCTGTAATTCCATAGTAAAGTGGTATTGAGCACCTAGCTCCAATTCTCCAGTTATCTTGTGCGCAAAATCAACTGTTTGACATACATACTATTTGAAATTCATAACATACAGATATTTAATATTATTTCAATACTGAACAAATAATTCAGGTTTGACTAAAGTAATTACAAAAGCAATTCTTCCAATAGATCAAAAAGTAAGAATTACTATCCTACAGTACCAGATAGATTATTACTATAAAAATAACATTCAAAAGAGGAATAAGCATGGTAGGACAGATCATGATCCTTGAGCAGATAATTAAAAATGGAGTATACATCAACATAACCGTTTGGTATGCTTTATTTCTCTTTCCCCAAATGAGATTCAATTTTGAACTCAATATTTACAAAGAATTAGTAACATCTGAGGATATGGCAAAGATTTTCATGGATAAAGATGGCATAATTATATTATATGACAAATAAATTTGATGGAACTAACTGGGATAGAAAATTGGCTTAGTAGGCAAATTAAGGTAAGGCAGTATAAATGATAGTAAAAACATACTCAGATTACACAATCTATGACCTGGGATCAAAACTTAATTAGAGAAGAAAGAAAAATGTGGAATTATTTTTGGAAAATTGTTAGTTAAGCATATCTTAAAATAAATACAGGAGGATTAAGATAGTCTGATTAAGGTGATAAAAGTTAACTACTACTAAAGGGCTATAAAGCCGGAAATAAATTTAAAATAAATCTATTTTCAAAAGCTTTACTTCATTTTATATATATTTATTTTTTCAATACCATTTTTTTTCGTAGGTGTAATAGAACCGGACAATAGTAATCGTTTTGGATCTCCAGATGCCAGCACCTCCTTCACTGTTAATAGTGGTTTTTTCTCATTAGTATATCCTATTTTCACCATCATAGCTGCTTTTATAGCCAAATCATGAGTTTTAGCTACAATGATTCCCACTGGCTGACCAGCATATTTTACAGTACCACTGCAAAATACCTATTAAAAAATTATAATTAATGAGCAGTTTTATTATTAATTATGATTAGTTTTATCAATATTTTTTTTTAATGTTATTTCCCATTAGTGAAAAAGCAAAACTCTTTAAGATTATTTTAAAAGTTTGGAAATATAATTAATGTTAGTACTTCTTCCAATAAACATTTATATAACTTTCAAGGCAATCAATAAAGTTAATTGTATTAAGTACCAATTTACAAAAATTACCAGAAGATTAACATTCGATGCAGAACTAAAATTGAAGAAAATATATCGGTGGTGGTAACCAAATCAGGAGGAAATATTTGGGAGGACTGAATTGCTTCAGTTAAAATAATAAAATAAATAAATGTATTAAAGATAAAAAAAAGATAAATTAAATGTAAATGTAGATAAATAAAAATAAATTTTCACAAGTTATGTACCATATAAGTATTACTTTAACTCATATAGCATGTATTATATAAAAATTATTTAATATATTATTAAATAATGTATTTCTTTTGTTTTACTTAAGTCCTTTTACAAGCTTTATTAGAATTTTCTTTTGAGTTCAAGATTTTTTTACCATTAACAGTCTCTTTTTTATATAAAACTTTATTTGTAGAGAAGCTTTCGGTGTCCATGCACCATATTCATCTCTATAATTATAATACTCCAATTAGTATAAATTAACAGTTAATTAATAACATTAACAATATATGTATTACATAATTTTTGAAATGTCATGCAATTATTATCAGATCATGCCATACCTTTTATTAGTTTTGTCTATTTAAAAACATAAAGGATAAGAACAGTGTTCTTGTTCTTCATCTCATGTTAGCTTTCTCCGAGAATAGGACTCCTCTTTGTCGAACACCATCTTACTGAGTGCTGAGGACTTACTGTCAGCACCCTCTATATTATCGCAACTATTTGGTAACTAAAGTTACCCTACCTTATTTAATTTACTATTATTTGAATTTTTATGGATGCCTATTATTTGTGAATAGTGTTGTGGGATGGTTTTGAATTTAGTTTTTTTCATTTATTTCTATATAAATGGATTTTAAATTTTTAGCTTTGATCGGTAGTTTGATTTATGAAGTGATTTAATATTTTCGAAATCTATTTCATTTCTATGGTTTTTTGCATGGTTTGATAAAGCAAGTAACTGTTTTTGAATTAGGTTTAAGGGTACTTTTTTGGTTATATATTCTCGTTTTTATATATCGGTCGATGTCATTCCTATATATGATTTGTTGCAATTTTTACAGGGAATATCATAAATTAAATTTCAATTGTTTTGGATAAGTGTTGGGTCCTTTGTCAGTAAGTTTTGTATAGGATGTCTGGGTTTGAGAGCAAATTTGAAAACGTCTATGTCTAATTTTTTAAAGGTTTTTAAATGATATTAAAATAAGTAAGTTTGTTAATGTAAGTTAAGCATTTGAATTTTGTATTATTATTTTTTATGGAAACCGATTCGAGTATATTACTATTTTCTGAATTTTGGTTAGGTTCAGTGTGTTTTGTATTACTTAGTGAGCTGGTGTTGAAGAATTATTTTAAACTGGTTTGGGTTGGGGGCCGACATGTATTTAAGTTGATAGTAGGTTCATAACCATCTCTATGTTCTGTAAGGCTATTGTGAGTTGTGTTATTTTCAGTATGTTTCTAGGAGGTCACTGTTGGTGATTCCTTTTGGTTATTTACTGCCTTATACCATAATTTTGTTATTAATTTATGTGGGAAGAAACTATTTTTTAGTATACTAAATATTTGTTGCTTAATTTGTTTCATTTATATATTGTCTGTAATTTTAATTGCTTTATTAATAAAATTGCTACCTACATTAATAATTTGCATTTAAGGGTGATTAGAATAAAAATTGAGGATATTTTCTGATGTGATTGATTTTCTAGACCATTTAGAATATAGTTTTTGTTCCTCTTTAACTATTGTCATATTCAAATAATTTATACTATTGTCATTTTCTATTTTGTGTGTAAATTCTATTTTAGGATGGATTGAATTAAGGTTATTGACCGATGTAGAATGAACTTCATGTCTAAGGATGACTAATAGAAACAATCTAAAATTACCAACAAAAAAAAAAATCTAAAATTACCTTAAAAAAAGAATTTTCTTTTTTTTAATTTTTTTATTTCAATATATTACTTTATTTTCAAATATTTGTTGAAGAAATATTGATAATACAAGAAAATAAATATGATACAAAATATCTAGATTTTTTTTTTCAATTTTACAAGAGATCGATTAGAGCATTTTATATATACTTATAAACAAACATCATATAAGATGTTTCCAAGAAATAGAAATTAAATAATTTAGGCAGAAAAGTTACACATGAAATGAGTTTACTGATATTTTTTATCATATTGTATTTCTAAATACAAACCTAATGAACTTTTTTAAATTAATTTTTTTATCAGGCTTCTTACAAAAAATACTTAAATTATTTTTAAGCAGTAATGATAGTTAATGAATATTTTTACAAAACTTACTAATTAAATATTTATTGTACTTACTTCTTCTTCCTCCGGATTGAAGAAGGTAATCAGAGTAAAGGAATTCCTACCTGGTATGTCTTTGGCAGAAAAAAATGCCACCACTCCTGGAGTTTTCTAGATAAAATTAAATTTTTAAAGATAAATAATTACTAGTCAAACAAAAATTTTATGAATTAATTGGTAACATATAACTCTATTGAAACTAGGGGTTGATCAAGACAAGAAAGCAGTAAAAATGTTGGCCTCCACCTCTCTCCTAAAACAAAGTTTCAAATCAGGGGCCATCAGTTTAACATTTTGCTTTTAGATATGTTAGATAGTTTCATGAAAGATTTTTTGAACTTCATATTCATTTTCAAAATCTTCAAATGAAGATATTTTAAGACTTCAGCATCCCTTTTTTATCTGGGTCCCTTGGTCAGTTTGCTTATCCCTCAATCTACCCCTAGTTGCTACTTTATTAATGAAATACATAAAAAAGGATATAGAAAATAAGTTAAAAATTATTATTTCTTTTTATTTCATAACTATTTACAACATTGGTGATATGTCGTCACCAAATATAAGTTTTTACCATCTTCTTAAGTCCTGCCGTTCTTTTTTACGCATGCCTCTGTTCATCATACCAATTTCTCTTCGGGCGACCTTTCTTCCGTCTTCTTTCTGGTTTTCAATCCCAAATTCATTTAGGAGATCATCTCTCATATATCCTCATCACATGTCCATACCACTTCAGCCTTATAGTTTCAGTGATGTGGAGGATGTTCTCCATTTGTTTAACTCGTTTCCTTATTTCACAGTTTGGAACTTTTGAAGGCGATAGACACCACATGATCTTCTCCAATAGTCCATTTCTAGGGCCAATAATCTTTTTGATTGGCTCTCTTTAATTGCCTGAGATTCGGCTGAATAGAGAGTAGCACTTTCTAGGAACGATTTGTAAATATTTTTTTTTTTGGTTTTTAAGGACACTGCCTTACTCCACAGTACCGAATTTATGGTTCTGAGGATTATCTTTCCTTCACTTATCCTCTTTTCAATATCCATATCCGATATTCCTGTCATATCCACCCAGCTCCCTAGATACTTAAATTGAGCTTCAGGTTTCAACATCCAGTTGTCCAATTGTAGATATTCACCTTGGCTATTAAAGACCATATATAAAGTTTTTTCTTTGCTGACTTACAGCCTCCAGGTTGAATATTTCTGGAGAATTTTTCTCATCATATATTCCACATCTTCTGCATCTGAAGTAATCAGTACCTGGTCGTCAGCAAACTGGAGATTGAGTAGGCAATCATTCCCAATTTTTATGCCCATACCTCTACATTTTTTTTCTTCCATTCTATTAGTGCCCTTTCTAAATAAATGTTAAATAGAAGCGGAATTATTAAAAATTATTAACTATCTTGAGCTTGATTAAATATAACAATAAACTATAAAATAATTTAATATTTTGAAAATGGAATACTTACTAGAGCAAGTGAGGGATCAATATTAGTGATTGTAGCTTCTGCTCTATCTGTGATTACAAGAGCACCGTGGAGTTCACCAGCCTGATATGGTATATCATCAATATATTCTGCTTCTCCTATCGATATAAATTTGTAATAATAAAGTAATTATAATTTTATTGTTCTAATATTTATAACATAAAAAGGAAATATAGGGATATTAAGAATTAAAAAAAAAAAAAATACTTTTTTTTATTTATTTTTTCTGATGGATTATTTTTTACCTGAACACTGTATTAATCCTTCATATTTAAGTTTTGGCAGATGCACTGGTGCTGCATCGGTATTAATAGAAAATTCTTGTTTTCCGGAAGATAAGGGTCTAGCCAAATTGTATGCTCCAGATCTATATAATTTATTTGAAAGGTTTCCATTCAACTGGAGAATAAACTGAAAAAAAAAACCTCATGAAATAAATAACTTCACTTTTGTTTAGAATTCTAATAAAAGAATTTAAAGCAGAAGAAAATTTGTTTAGTTTAAGATTTAAATCATTTTATTCACACCATTTAATATTAATTACAGAGATGGGCATATTTATATTCCTAAATATAAATACGAAATGTATTTATAATTATTGTACCTTATGAATATAAATATAGATAATTCGTATTCACACCTGTAAATGTAAATACAGCCGTATTCACACCCATAAAAGTGATTACAACTGTATTCACACCTATAGAATACACTTGTATTTACAGAAGTGAATAGGAATGTTTTCACATAATCTTATGTATTTCACATAATCTTATTTATTAAATATAAATTAATTTTTCAAAAAATGTCTAGCTCTAAATTCAACGTGAACAGGCTTGTATTTATGAATTTGAATGACGCTACTGTTATATTTAAATAATCCTATAAATAAATACCCTTGCTTAAAAAAAACAAAACAAACAATATTCAAATCCACTATGATTACAGCTCAAAGGACAAATCTTTTCTTTTGTCATAATATGGCAAAAATTCCTTCCTTAATTTTTTTTTTTATCAGGCCATATTTTTTAAATCATCCAAAACTTGTTCACATCAAAATAAAAACACATGTTCTTTTTAAAATAAAATGATTTAGGCAATTAGATTGCAACAGAAAACATGAACCAGTCTACACTCTGATAAAACACACAAAATATAAGATTTCAGATATACTACAGGTACCATAATTATAAATTCATTTCGTATTTATATTTACAAATATAAATATGCCCACCTCTGATTAATTGTTTATTTACTAAAAACAAAAACAAATTTCAATTGTTATTTTTAGTTGTAATCCAGTCCTATCTATAGCGAATCAGATGTACTACCAGATCAACAACAGTATAATTGGAGTATGTATGTATATGAGGTAGGGAGGGATGTTAAGATGCACATATATAAGGCAATATAGCTACCAGTCCTTACATATGGTGGTGAGACTGGGTGACACTTTACAGGTATGTCAGCCGGATCACTGGCACTGAGATGAAGTTCTTGCGTAGAGCAGCGGGAAAGACAAGATGAGAAAGTATCAGAAACAATAGAATTAGAGAGCGATTAGAGGTGCCTCTATTGAAGACAATCATGCAAAACAGACAGTTAAAATGGTTTGGACATGTTTGTCGAATGGATGAAGTGAGGGAGCCCAGAAGGAAGCTAGACCTACAATTAGAAGATCACATGGCCTGGCCAATATAAGTATATTATAATACATTATATAATGACTATATAATATATATAGTATACAGGAATAAATCCAGAGAATTAAGGGGTAATAGAGGCAAGATCTTCGCAGAAATATAACAGCTGAGCAGCGACCAGGAAATCTTATCCAGATGTTTAACCTTTAAAATGTAAAAAAAAGAAAAACAAATAACAAAATATGACTCACCCTGTAAAATAAAGCTATACAAAGCATCTTCTTGTATTCAGGAGAGGGGTCTGGTGGATCATCAACTGGGTTGATTTCTTTTGATAATGTAGCCTTAGCTTCTTCTAGAACTTTTGGATTTAGTAAAGATTTTCCCTTCAGCAAGTTTTCTGTTACTGTTGCATGAACCTGAAAATTAATACTTTTGTTTATACGCTATTAACTTTTATCTTAATAAGAACATATAGAATGATACCTAATATTATATGTCACTATTTGTTTTATGTCTGTTTTACTTATGTCATTAAAGAAATAGATTGGAATATGTTCAGATGGGGCTTTGATTGATAAACACTGTTTCCTCTTTTTCACCTTCCCAATCTTGAAACTTTCCTAAAAAAGGAACTTTTTCATCAAATTTGAAACCCTGCTTACAAAAGACCATGGCCATTCACATCTACATATGCTCAGAAAGCTCTGTAGTACTTTTTATTACATGTTTCAAGAAAGTTACAAAGGATTATTTAAAAATTAAATAAAATGAGACTATCAAAATAGAAACAGAGGATTCTTTTAATCCAATAATTATAATTTCTACATAAATATATACAAACATTAATGGATTATAAAACATCACTTACAAAATTAGGAGCTACGGCACCAAACACAATATTTGGCTTCTCCTCCACGGTATACTTATTACTTTCTTGAATTTTGAACAGGAAAGCAGCATTCATGAGAGCATGGACATTTTGTCGTCTAGGCATTATCTACAAAATAAACACTATGGTTGAAATTTTGATAATATTTTAAAAAATATATAGTTTTGATTAACAATTATTAGATACAAAATAATCATATGAATCAAATGAAAAATATTTAGACAACTACTAATTTCTATGAAAGACATTATCATCTCATTATTTTTTTATTCAGTCATGAACTTTAATTATAACATAAAAAAAGAAATTACCAATAATTGAAGTTGAAACCTTTTATTTATAAATGTTGCTATCCTTATTTAAATGTAACTGAATTTATTTCTCAATTTATATTCAAAAGTCTTGTTTTTATTATTTATTGTCATTTTTATCCTAGCATTATAAATAAATATGCAGTCCTTTTTATAGTGAAATATAAAAATTTCCAAATTGAGACCTATCTATGCTTTGTTATGGAAGTTCTAATATCGTACTATAAAACTGACTATATAGTTATATATAATGTACATAAATAGTAAAATACTATGAAAAAGATAAATTATAGCAAATTTAAAATTTAAAAAAAAAAATTATGGCTAGACGTAATAATAAAAATTATGAAAAAAATCATTTCTGAAAATTGCATAAAAAACATAATAAATAATAAAATGATGAATTATTTTACAATTTAGTTTAAAAATTGAAAATTAAAACTTCCTGGAGTAATAAATATATTTATCTTAATTTATGATGTACCTTAAATGATCTGAAGACATAATTACTACTGCTTAGAGCTGGAAGAATTACATTTATAACTACTTTCTTTTTCATATCTTTATTCAAAAACTCAAGGAGACTAATTGTTTCATCCAATCCGAAACGATTTCCTGAAAATAAAATAATCACTTGGTTGTCAAATGGTAACTCATTAAAAAATGAATTAGGATTTTCAGGTAATTACCATACCTATAATTAATCAAACAGAATACTGCTGTTAAATACATTTCAATATTGGTAATATACAATATTAGTTCTTAATAAAAGTTTGAATCCGTATTAAAGACTTTTTTAATAGTAACAAAGGATATAAATTATGTATTTTTATTTTGAATGTTTAATCACTGTAATGTTGACAATAGTACATAATTAAACTTGAAAAATTATAAACAACTCCAATATGTCTTATTCATAAACAAAATGAAAAAATAAAACAGTGTGTGATGGAATTTGATAAAGGAATGTGAGAAAGAAAAAAACCATGCGGTCCACTTGCCGGACAAGTTCTCCCTACCAATAGCAGTACTAGTATATGACTAATTACCAAAATCTATTATGCTCAACCACATTAAATATAATATATAATAAATATTGGCATCAGAATAAGAAAACAACATACAACAAAAAAAAATGGCAAGTCTGCTAACAATAACAATCAGGATCTAGGACTCTTGTGGTCCTAACATGGTTGACTATCCTAGCTCGGTTTTTTGGTGGCTTTTATGAATTCTGGTATAAATGACAAACAAGTTATTCTGAACTACTGTCAATATGTATTTATAAAGTTGTCAGTCAAGGATTAAAAAATATCTAGGAAGGTCTAACTTAATTGATTTCCTTCCAGTAAACAACTAAATTCATAAAAACTGAAAACTATACTTATTGTTATTCTTCCTCCACAAGTTTCCATTAACAAGAATAGGTCAGATGGAAAATCTCTATGTTGGTGCTTGGTCATCAAGTTTCCAGCTAGTGTAGCAATCTGGAAGATCAAATTATATAAAAACATTAGTAGCTTTAAATTTAAAATAAAAAAATTGACTTTTATTAGACAACTAAAAATTTTCTTACCGATGACAAAATAACCAATAATTTTAAAATCAGTTATTTTTATTAGACCGACCTTAATTTACAGGTTCTTAATGTCCTTATGATAGGGAATGCATATAATTACTTACTTTTTAAATGATTTACTTTTTAAATGTAATTTGAGGATTGACTGATAAATAATTGATGTTTATGTGTATATCTATAAATTAGTAGAATTGGAGGCTTCATATAAATTACAATTGTTTAAAATAATATCCTTTTTCTCTTACAGTTGGTCACTTTGATTAAGTAGGAACATGTAGATTAAAATTATGTTATTAGCTTCAGAATCAAATCATTAAATGATCAAAAACAAATATATTAAATACTGTTTTAGTTACCATGGACATTATGTTATCTGCTACAGCATTATTTTATTGATGGGGGATTCAATGATGATCTTTCAAATAGGATATAAATTACATATCAACATTAAATTATTGGGCTAACATTAGAGTAGCATTATGATACATTGAAACATAAAATACGTTCTCCCATAACCAACATTTAACTCAAGGAATAATTGAAAAAGTTCTTATAAAAACTTTACTGATAGCTACCACTCAAAAAAAAAAAAAAAAAAAAAAAGAAAATACAACAAAAGACAAAAGCAACTCTTACATTTCTTACAGGAACGTTGGCAACAAGGTCAATGTGTTCTGCAAGAGCTTTAGTATAACCATAGAACAAAGGATTATCAGAGGATGTTCGATTGAACAATGAAATCATATCATTTAGTGTGATGTTGGCGCCTAGTACAATCCTCTGTTGGTTAACAGACACAGTCCTTAAAGCTCTCACATCACTTATGTCAATGTATATTTGAGGTGGTTTATCATCTGGATAAACACCTAAAATAAAAAATAAAAACTATAGTATATTTTTTTTTTCGTACATATTATTTTTCAAAATTAATGTTGATTAACCTTAATCTGCACCTAATTTGTTGAAATAAAAATTACTTTACAATGGTATTCTATTAACATTACTATTAATCTCACCTATCTCTTATTTTTTCTATAATTATTGCCATGAGCTACACTTGTTGCCTTATTTCACTTTGGTAAACATTTTTAACCACTGTTTCATTCCATTTCTAAGATCCTAGAATTTCTGTAATAGACCACATTCTTTTAATGTTTGGTTCTTTCAATTCATTAAGACTTTTGGAAGAAAAATTGGAATGCTTCTTTGAAGAAAAATTTTTGGAAACTTCTAGAAAATATTGGACTCTAAGCTGGACTTCTTGCTGACAATTCATTATCCTAATCCAATTAAGTTGAAGAGATAGTCATTCATGATTCTTGCTATGTGCGGCCTAGCATTTAAGTGGCTGTAAGATAAAGCCTTCCCCAGTGTAATAAGGTTGAGGTAAAACATGTTCTTGGCAAAGTCTTTTCACATAACTTTCATTATTGAAAGTCCTTTATAAAACTGCAATGGCTTTCGAAGAATGTTTTCTCCTTGTAATGCCTGGTGTAGGACCAAATTGTACTGAGAAAAACTTTAACCTAGCCTTCTCCTCATTCTAATTTGCACATCTGAATACCTAAAACTAATTCTCATATCATCAGAAATATTTCGGCTACTGGTGGAATGAAGCCTTTGCAGTTACTTTAATCTTTTCGCATGAATATTCAGATTTAAGAGGGGTATTAGTTTATTAGTTAAATAAACTGGATGTTTAATGTCATTTATAAAATATTAAATTGAATAGGTAGTTCACAAATTAGTTATCATACATACAATACAAATTTTAGGAAAATAAAATCTGGTGTGTCCACTCACACAACTTTCCTACCTATTTCAGAAAAGTTTTTGTATCTTTACATAGGTCCATCAAGATACAAAAAAAAATATTGAATTAGATTTATTTTCCTGAAAATTTATCATAGAAATGATTTGAATAAGATTTATTCGAAAAATTAAAGCAATGTAAACTGGCTTAAGGTAGATCAGTGTAAAAATTTTAATACTTTCTTTGTAAAACTTTTTGTCATAGCCTAATTTTGTCAAACAATAATTTCTGTTAAAAGTAGTAAGCTGTATCATCCCTATATTGGTTCGATTCCAATATTTTTGTTTTGTTGGTAATTTAATTATCTTTCAAAAATTTTATTATAAATTTTACCATAGAATATATACTTAGCGAGTTAGGCCAAAACATTTTTTTTTTTTCTTTATAATTTTTTTCCCGAATTTTCTCGGGAATTTGGTCCATATACGAAAATTGAAAGGACAATTATTAGAACATTATAGGAAAGTTTCATCAAAATTGTTTGAGCCGTTTTCGAGCTACAATCTATAGAAATACACATTTTTCATTTGTTGAACAGCAGCTATTGCGCATTGAGCATCCGATTTGTGTCACAGGCATCAGTAGTCAAAACCATACAAAATAAAAAAAGAAGCAACAAAATCGGTTAGCTAGTTTCTGAGAAAATCTTGGCACAGACAGATAGACAGGCAAACAGACCAATGGCTAAAAATGTGTTTTTCGGACTCAGAGGACTCTGAAACGTATAGATCCATCGAAAACTGTATATTGGAAATTTGACCCGATACATAATAATTTCCTTACCTAGTATAGGTAGGAAAGTAAAAATGCAGATTCTTTATTACATTTAGAGTGATGCATATATTCTGAAACAAATCATGATTGCATGACTGAAAAAAAATTATTCTGTATTACTAATTAATAAATCTTTTACCTTGAGCAGTATTTCCAGCGACAAGCATATAACTGGCATTTCCTATCATATCAAATATTTGGAAGATTTGAGGAATAGTAGAAACCCGGTACCAGCGGGCATCATCTTGTAATGAAATGTTCACAACTGTGGAAGCCATTGCTGTTTCCAAAAATAAGTCTGAAAAATCTTCCTCTCGTTCTTCATTGATGTTTTTTGAACAGTCCTTGCAATCATTTTGACATTTGAGATTACATTTTCCAATTGAATCCTGAAGTGACATAAATGATATAATAATCTTACAATTCAACAGAACCATTATTATTACTTTTGAATAGCAATATTTGGACTTATACTTCTATATCTCCTAATTTCATTTTGAGGTCATTTGAAGCATCATCTGCCAAAGCTTTAAAACCATCTAAGATGGGTCTGTAGCCTGTGCAACGGCAAATACTTCCACCAAAAGAATTTTCAACTTCTTCCATTTTTATTTTTGGATTAGCTCTCAAAAGACTGAAATGAAGTAATATTTCATTTTAATTTATTCCAATCAGATATTTTTAAAATATTGTTTATAATTTGATACTATAAGATTAATAAAAATAGTTCTCAAGGACCAACCAGAGGAGAAGATGGAAAACTTTTATGGCTACAGTGCCAGAAGAAGTGAAACCAATGATTATATGTGAATTTTAAAGAAAATCTTGGGAAAAATTAAGAAAACCCCAGATGGAAGAATAAAAACAAAATATAAAGAAACTGAATCAGAGAAAAAACAGATTTCGATTTCAACCACATCTTTTCCATAAAGATTTAGAGAATGAGAAAGGAGTGATGTAAAATTTTGTATATATATATTGTAATGTCAACATTACATGGTATATAAATAGTGGCGCAAAAGTGGCAAGAGCAGGAACTACAGGGAAGAAGTGGGGGAAGCAAGCTCATGTAACTCAGACTGCGACGGGCCGCCAAGAGGGAAGGTGTGTGCGGCCAAGAGAGAAGATTATGAGCCGCCAAGAGAATGGGACAAGCTGCCAAGTGAGAAGGTGCCAGCCAGCAAGTGGAGAAATTAGAAAAAGGAGTCCTAGCCGGTTCGAGTGTAGATAGAGGCCACTAGTGAAGATTATTTTATGTTGGAAGAAAGAACATAGCAGAAATTAATTAAGTGGTACAGAAAACGGGACATTCGTGAGTAAGAAGAGATTATTTCGCTGGCAGGCGTAAACATTTGGGTGAGTGCTAACAATGCCATTTATGTTGACAGAGGGATAGAACCAAAAGTTTAGACCGGGACAAATTATTTTATAAAATATTTTAAATTATAAATAAGTGTAGTTAGTAATTAATGAATTAGTGTACATTGTATTTATTAAATGTGAATGAGTGTTCAGTTGTCAGAACCGAACCTAAAGATTAATGTTATGTGTTAAAATAAATAATATATTGAAAAAGTAAACTCGTTGTTTGTTTTGGTTGACAAAGGGAACGTTACAATATGTATATATACAAAATTTATATGAGAAGATTCTTTTTCATACAAAGCAAAGATTAGATTGTCTTTGAGGTAATTATTGAATAATTTTATACATAGGAGAGATTATTATTTTATATTAATATTAAATTTTAATTAAATTAAGCATGTTAAAATTACCATATTCTACTAGTGTGAGACATAGTAAAAGGGAATAAGTACACTTATGCTTGATGGAGATATAGCTGAGCAAAGAGTTGTATGTGCAGTCAGAAATGAACATATTAGAAAGAAACATATTAGGTTACATACCGTTTTAAATTAATTTAAGTAAGGGGGCGGAGTGGCCGAATGGGTTAAAGCGTGTGCACAGCACCGCGAGCTGCCCAGCAACTAAATATATGAAGTTTTGAGAGGCAAAAATAAGTACTAGTTCGCGTCCCGGTGCCGGAGGGGATTTTAAATTCCCCGCCCTCACCCTCCGGCCCGGGGAAATTCCGTATAGCCTAAATGGCAAGGTAGGGAAGAACATACCGTTTTAATGTGTGTCAATGTTTTGGCCTTTGGCCTAAGTAGGAGGCCTTTAGCATGGTTTAATTCAGTCAAATAAGGCAAATTTATTTGATTTAATTTAGCTATACAGATAAACTAATGTTTAGTTTAACATTTATTTTTTTAAGGATTATTTATTTTGTTATTACCTATACATGTTCATTACTTGGCCAGGTGAGCAATAACCACATTGTGTTCCATTGAAAGTATAAAGAGCCTTCTGAACCTTATTGTATCCCATCTGCTTGTTCCCAATTCCTTCAATGGTGGTAATCTTCGCTCCGTGGCAGGACAAAATGGGCACTAAACACTGCAGGAAGCCCATTAAAGATTATTTATTTATAATTTCAAAGGTTTTTTTAAAAGTTATATATATATAAAAAAATTCACATCTATACAACAGGAAAGAAGATTGAAGTAATCTTTTAATTTTATTGTAGTGTGCAATAGCTTTTAACTATATTAACAAATGTAAATGATTATACCGAATTGACGCCATAACTTCTTTCTCGGCCTGTTGCAGGGTTTGTTGAAGTCATGTCGACGATACAAGCACCACATCCTCCTTCTTTGCACATGTATTTTGTTCCTTTAAGGTTGGCATATTCACGGATATAAGTGTTCAAGGATGTATCAGCATTCACATCGGAACCAGCTTATTCGGACAAAAGGATTTATTATAATCATATTAAGAACAATAATATATTTTCATAGTTTAACTTGCATAACAGTAGAGGCAACAAAACAAAATAATAATAATTAAATGAGCAAATCAATAAAACTATGTGATTCTATTTTTTTTTTGGCAGTCAGAATTCAATTAGCCAAAAAAAATTCGACATTTAATCTTACTATTGGTGTTTTATTTCACAATAGATTAATGTTTTATTATTTAATTTTTTTTGTGATATCCAAGGTGTTTTGTCAAAAGGATGTAAGTCCTCATTTGTATGAGAAATGTCTTCTTGGACAAAAATTCTTCTCTTTCATTTTAATTTTTAAAAATAGTGTATGTATAGATGAATGTAATTAAGCAAGAATAAAACTAGAAAAACAAAAAAAATTGTTAATTATTTGTAAAACAATTTTGTGATATACTGTGACTAATATTTAAATAACTATTATTTGTTTAATAAACAAGATATGAAAGCTATTTAAAATATATTTCACTAGTTGGCAGTGCAAATAATTCGTACAGTATATCATTCAGTGATCAAATTACAAATCAATAAAATAATGCAACATAACATAAGTTTAAGAAGTGAATTGTTACGTTCTCACGTTAATCGACAAAAGAAACAAAAATTAATTAATAACTTCATTACTGTTTTGAACCAACATGTTTATAAATTTCAATAATCTGTATCGATGATTTTTTTTCAACTCAACTTTGTTTTCCCTTAATAAATATTTTAACTCACTTTTCTCCTTCGATCAGTACAAATTGTACTCATACTATAGTTATATGCCAATTGCATAGTTATTTTCAAATGAAATGGGCTCTAATAGAGCTCTACTAAAGAATATAAAACAAAAAAAAAGAGTAAATAAACAAAATAAAAAAATCTAATTAGAAAATTTTTTAATCGATTAATAGATTTGTCGAAAGTGTGTAATATTCGAGTTATTCACAAATAAAGTTTCTTTTCTTTCATAACTTTTTTGTTTGAATTTTTGGGATGATGAAACTATTTTTACTGTCTTGAAGTGGGTGGCTCAATCTTGGGATTTGATGAAGAATTAACAAAGATAGGGCTTAGCAACAAAAAAACACCTTTGATAAATAATATAAATTTCATCTCCATAGCAGCACTGCAATTAACTCAAGGTTGTGCGGATATGAACCCTTTGCCTATCATTATCCCAATAATGGTACGTTTTTGGGCTCGAAAACACAGGGCCCTGATAGTTCCAAAGAAACTATCCGGATCTTGGTATAGGAATAAAAGTCTTCAAAGCCTAATTTTTCCCTTATCGATCTACAAACATACCTTTGTTCCAGTATCGAAGCCTAGCAAAATAGTTATATCAATTTTATTTATTTTAGAAAGAAAAACCAAAATGGGTAATACAATTCGCTAACTCGCTGTAAAATTCTGAATCCAGCAGTACTCCTCCCCCCCCCCTTTATGGCGTTTGAGCATGACAGGAGCTTATATTTGGAACAAATTAAGTCTTACTGTAATAATATATGTGGAGATATAAAACTGCAGGTTGAAGACGGCGAGACTATGAAATGCAAGAGCTATTTTAATTATTTAATTTTAAAGCCATCAATGTACTGTAGTAGTCTGAGTTGAATTATTGAACGCTTTCACTCACAAGTAGTAGAGAATTACAAGAGCGAGAACGATCACTATTAATTATAACACACTCAAATTAATTTTTACTTTGTAGCAGCTGTACTTACCAGTGTATACTTTTCCATTAATAGTAAATGTGGCAGTCGTCTCGCTACAAAAATAAAAAAATTAAATTCATAAAATGTGTACACTCTAGAATTATAAATTGCATAGTCTTTATTACAGAAAAAATAATTAAATTACAAATGTTTATTCAATTTTAATTTTAATGTTATCATTAATTAATAATAATAGCCTTATTTAATAGATAATGATGAAAATAGATATTTATGGCTTTTTTAGTTATAATTTTTTAATTATAATAATATTTCCAATAATAATTTGTCCCAATATTCATTTCTAGTTTAAGGTGATAATACAATTCATAATATGAGGTTTGGTTGTGTTTATTCCATCATTTTTATTTTTCATTTTATTACATTGTCAACATTTCGGCTGAGCTGTAACTAAATGAAAAATAAAAATGGTGGAATAAACCCAGCCAAACCTTATATTATTGGTCCAATATGTTTCATTACTACAAATGGTTATGTATTCCATAAAATTTTAACCATAATTACATAAGAGAACAGAAATCTTTAATATTTGACCAATAAGACTTTTATGGTATGAATGAAAAAAGTTAAATGGCCTTGTTATTGGGATTATTTTTTATTTTTTTGGGATTAGTTTAATTGATTATTTGCAATTTCATTTATATTTATTGGGGGTAAGTTTATTTTATATAACATGCGTTTAACAATACACCTGTAACTTTACTTTTTACTGTTATAATAAAATGAATAAATTTAAAAAAGAAGATGACATTTTCAATTTAATAAACAACAATATTATGAAATAGAAAAAAATAATGATAAGGAATTTCTTAATTATAAGAAAATGTGGAAATACTTATTTTAAAGAAAAATCATATTTTATTAAATACAAAATTAATCAAGAAGTTCATTTCGTTGGCTTAAATGTTTTCATTATGTGTAAATATAACTTACCCTTGTTCTAACCAGTCCATGTTGCAAATGCTCCTGCTTCAGGGATCACACTGGCTTTAGTAAGGAGTAGGAGGGATAGCAGTTCCTCCTCGATTATACAATCTACTCAAAATAGACTTTTCCTGCAACAATAACTAATTTATTTTTTAAAATTAGTAAATTATGCAGAAGTTATATTTGTGAATATATTTCGAAGCTAACAAATATTCAACCAACTTTAGTAGATGGACAGGTGATTTATGTTTAAGTGCAAGAGATTATCTTTATTTCTCAATTGATTTTATATTTCTATATGCAAAGATGTAAAATATATAAATATATGCATTTAATTTACAGAGATGGTTAACTATACCAATGATATGTAAACTAAAAATGTATAATCTACCACATTTTATTTTATTTTTTGGATTCTATCCCAACCCTAGACTTTTGATATTGTTTCGCCAATAACTAGTTAAGTAATAACTGGTTAAAAAATATGTAAAACTTATTAAATACAAAAAGTATTGACTATTTTGGGATTTTATTAAATGAGTTTGATAGTTAATGGGTACCCAGTAATCATGAGGCAGACCACTAGGCGTTGGAGGACCACAGTTTAAGAAACAATGATTTTGGATATAAACTCTTGAATAAAAAAACTAAAACAATTTATTAGATACTTAATAATAACTACAATTTTGTGAATACATTTTTATTTCACTATTATCAGAAAATTGTTAATAAGAAGGAGGGATGGAAGGATTGAAAAAACTATTGGTTCTAATAAATAAAGCATGATATTTATCCAGGTCCAAAAGAAGGGGCCAAAACTGTTTGCAGTTTTTAATCTTAGAAGTTGCTCTTTGATTGAACAATTCATTTTTTTTTTCTTAAAACACACAAATATGTAAGATGTGTCTTCTTTATATGAAAAATAACACAAAAATCGTGCTGTCTGGGCAATTGCCTGGGGCGCTGACCTAGAGGGGATGCCCATCACTTGTTGGGATTTAAAAAAAGTACAAGACGTATAAGAATAATTAATTTTAGTCTATTAATAATGTAACTGTATTAGAGTCGTATTGAACGAATTACAATTCAAATTTGACTTTATATAAAACAGCTTAAGAAATAATTTTAATTTTTTGGTGGGCGGAGGAGTACTGGCAAAGAGGGGAGAGGGAATGAATCCAGCAAGTGGGCCTACAGTGAAAATCTTCACCGAATTCTCAGTATTGTTCCTATTCTCTAGTTTTGAAAATTTATTACATACTTGATGAAGTCCTGATACATATTTACATATGATAAAATTTTCATTTTAATCAAAATGAATTTTCACTAATAAGATAAATAATTAGCTTTATAGTAAAGTGGTGGAGATGGAACATCTCGAAAATGGAAACATTGCTACGTCATGACATGCCACCCGGTAGCTCGTTGGATATCTTATATTATACTGTTTCCAGCTTCAAATCTTCAAAATACTCAATGTCTTTCCATTTTTCTCTCGCCCATTCTTCTCTAAAAAAATATTTAGTTTAAAATGCATTATACTAGCTTTCATAAATGTATGTTAACAAATTAAAGTTGAGAAACATTGATAGTATCGTATTGTGCAAACATATACTATGTTACTATACAGTAGAACCAAACCCCCAGTTTCCACCACTCTTCCGAGTCGCAATATTATTTCAAGTTGTTATCTGAGTATGAACCTTTTTTCATTATTTAAAAATGTTCTAAATTCTATGTTTGTTCTGTATCATTTGAGTTTTATTGGAGCTAAAATTTACGAGATTTGTTTTCAATGCTAGTACCCCACTGTGCCAGTACCATTGATGAAAAATGACGGTGACATACGATATGATCACTCTCTATTATGAAAAAACGACTGTTCATTAATAAAAATTAATCAAGCTATGTATTAATCATACGTAGTCAGGTTACAGTCTTATATTATGTAAAGTGCTTCATGCTGTCACTCATTGGAGTAGAGAATTTTATAAACTTGTTCTATGAAGGAATTGGAAAACGCCTGTATATTGTAAATTCTGCTTAAACAATCACCTTTAAGTTTCTTATCCAGATTTGGATATGATCAACAGATAATTAATTTACAATACGATCTGGAATATACAAGACAAGGGAAGATAAGTGGATTCTAGGCATAAACCTGAAACAAACAAAAGTGTTTTGTAATACTGAAACAGATATGTTAATATCATACAGTGAACAGAAGAAAAGAGATGGCCAAATAAACTTTTCCTCCAAAGTTATCGGATGAAAATTCGGAATTTCAAAATGCTGCTGATACGGTGTATGCAGAGAAAATGACAATATATCAGCTGAGAGATGTTTTTGAATGGATAAAGGAAAATCGCATAATGAAATAATTAGAATAGGATTGCAGTAATTATATGGACCCTAGAATAATTAAACGTCCCATGCACTGCAAGCTTCCAAGCCCAGACAACAAACTCTTAATGAATTAAGCCAAGCCCCTCGTTCAAATTAAACAGCTACAGAAGGACAGAGTAGTGGGTTGAAGGAGCCAGTAAGTGAGAATTATTAATTCAGGATTACCCAGAAGGTTGTTTTGTGGCGCGTTGAACCATCGAAATTTTTGAGGGGGGCATATTTTGAATTTTTGAGAGGGCCACATTTGAACGTGGTCATGAATTTTCGGAATGAAAAGCTTTAGAATAAAGGGTAAGAGAAAAACGTGGAACAGACAGCAGCCAGTGTAATTGTGTATTATCTACGATTTTCTAATACTACTGTTTCTTCTGTTTTTAAGAAAAGGTAAGCAATAAAATATATTGGAAGGAGGGGGGATTGTTGCGCCATCGACCTTGGAGGGGGGATGGGTACCCCAGCAGGTATCATCAGTACAACTTAAATGGCACAAACACTAAAACTATTTTAATGCAATATTTTTAATATTTTGATACGTACACAATTATTATGTACAATAAATAAGATTAATTTTTGTGCTACAATGATAAGTTATTTTCAAACTTTACTATAGTTTTCCTGTTTGTTTGAATAAGTAATGACTCAAATTGTGACCAGTTTATATAATTAGATATTTAATTTGTGTTTGAACAAAAATTGCATAAATACACAGATGCATCTTTGTCCCTGAATGTGAACAAGTAGACCTAATTTCTTCAGAAAAATAATGTTTTGTATGGATGATTTTCAGACTACTAATTGACTGATTTAATGCGCGAGTTGGTTGAAATGAAGTTATCTCACAACTTATTTGACTGTTAGTATTCTTTTATTAATTCATCTATTTATTCATTGTTAAATAATTAAATTAAGGGATTTAATATTAATATAACACTAAACAATTCTACAAATTTTGTGTCAATTTTCCATTCACAAAGACTAGTGGAAACTGTTTAAGAAAATATTTTTCATATTTGAGTATTATTTGGTAATTATTTAGGTGAGGACCACACGGGTGATTCACAATCTCTTCGGTCACACTTGTTCATGTAATGCATTCGGGTTTATCCGAAAGATTGTTTTCGGTGAGAGTTGATCACAAGACTGATTGTGAACCACGCGTAATCCGTGCGATCCTCATCTGAATTATTATCTAATATTTTGATACTCTTCTAAATATATCAATCATTTTATAAAATTTTGATTGCAAATCATGGTAGTTATTTAAATGAGGACCGCACTTGTTCATGAAACACAGAAAACAGTATTTCGAATAAATCTGAATGAATTCGGCACTCCATGGACAAGAGTGGCTCAAGTAATTGTGAACCACGCGTAACCTTCATCTAAACGGTCTTCATCTAAATAGTTACCAAAGCCATATGGGTTTTCTTAAGGACTAAATAACATCAGAGATAATTTATCACCTATGATATATAAAGTCGAATATAATCAACAGGAGGCGGATTAACATTGGGCCGGGCAGTTGCTCGTGGGCGCCACATTATAGAAATTAAAAAGAACGTCAATTAATAACTAATTAAAAACTGTTAATAAAGGAATTAAATTAGAGATATAAAGATCGGCACTGAGGATCAACACTAGTGCAGTAAAAAGTTTCAGGACCCCATTAAAAAAAGTTTAAGTGGCCACTTTATTCTTCTATCGATTGATCCACTCCTGATAATTTATAATACATTTACAAATTCGTGAAATATGATAAATTTTATTTCGATCATTTGTATAGTAATGGTTTTATACGGACATTGTGATGTAATAGGGTCCTGCCTACCGAAGGAGCACGTTTAGTCATTGGTCTTGATAGAAAAAGAATCATTAAGGGGGAAATACATAAGTTAGAGATTCGCTGGTAGCTATAACGTGCAAATATTTTTGCACATTCCACTCCATTACTATCTTCATCTACATTCTTAGGTGAGAATGTGGCTGTCACTCTTTCTCAATAATTAATTTATTGAAATAGTTAAATTTAATTTATTTAAATAGTTAAATTACCCGAGTACGCTGTGGAATAGCATTTTCCGATATCTATCTAATTAAAGCCGGTGTTCACCAGGCAGCATCTTTTGTCCCATGCTTTACATTCTCTTTACCGCTGACATCCCTGCTCATTCCGGTACCTTCCTTGCAACATTTGCTGATGAAACCGCAATCCTATCATCCAACTCAGATCCTGAAATAGCAGCCTTAACTTTACAAAGACACCTCTCCCTAATTGAGCACTGGTGCTATGAATAGCGCATTAAAGTGACTGAGTCGAAATGCAAACATATTATATTTACTCTCCGACGAAATTCCTGTCCACCATGACACTTTAATTCCATCAAGCTTCCTTACTCAGACACAGTCTAGTATCGTGGCTTTCTCTTAGACCGAAGTCTAACATGGAACCCACATGCTAGGCTTAAAAGACAAAAACTCAACCGACGGTATGGTCGGCTATATAGACTACTGAACAGAAAATCTCAACTTTCAACTGACAACAAACTACTGATCTACAAGACAATACTGATACCTATTTGGACCTACGGACTGGAGCTGTGGGGGACAGCAAAATTTTCTAACATCAAACGCATTTAATCCTTTCAGTCCAAAGTCCTTTGAACAATAGTTGATGCTCCCTTCTATGTAACCAATCAAACCCTACACCATGACCTTAATATCCCA